GGAAGATGGAACAAAAGTGTTGAAAATTTCATTCTCAGATGATTCCAAATATCTCGAAAACAACTGAAAATATATGAAAATGTTATCGAACCAAAATTATTCCTTTTGATGAAATCTACAAAAAATCCGGATAACATTTTTCTCTGAACTCAATAGTTCGGGAGATACGATGAAAAAACTAAAAAATTTACAAGTTCCTAGATAATCACTTGCCAATAGAAAACGAAACAAAAAACAAAAGAAGCACACTCGACAGTCTTGAATTTTTTTCCCATAAACTACGTAACTAGCTAGGTACCTAGCTCACTCGACTGTCTTGATTTTTCGCCAATAAACTACGTACATAGCTCACTCGACTGTCTTGATTTCCCACGAAGAAGAAATATGTTGGCATTATTTTACCTTTCTTTTGTTTTCGTTTTTTTAGTTCCTATTGGCAGTCTAGTGGGCTAGGTACGTAGTTTGTGTGGAAAAATCAAGACAGTCGAGTGGGCTGAGTACGTAGTTTGTGGGAAAAATCTCCAGTTCTCTGAACTTTCATAGCGTCGTATAAAACATCTTTTTTGCCCAATGATAGTTTCAATATAAAAATATGCTCATGATATGATGCCATGGCCTCTACTTCCATCTCACATGAGCAATGATAAAATATTATCTGCTATTATAGCGTCTTATAAATTATCTGACCTCTATACTAATCTAATACTTAATGAAAACTACATCTATAATAATCTGATACCTTTCAAAAACTACGTACCTCACTTGTGAAAATACGTTGGACCACTTTGAGGTATAGATGAATTCCATGATTTATGTCATGAAGATATCGCAAACAAAATTGTCATAGCACGCCTACTTTTCGAGATACACGCCGAAAGTGGAAGTATTGCCTTTTGAGTCCCCCCTGTATCCCAGCCATCTTTCAACTTATCGAAAAAGTAGAGACTGCCGCTCATACATTTTTTTACGTAGAATGTAGTGGCGTAGTTGGATTTTCTGAATCAGTTGTTGTTTTTCAGATATAACCCAAAGTTATGTTTTTATTTTAATGGGAAACGCTGAATATTTTTTCATATTTGGGACATTGATGCTCTGCAGTTTCTAAAAATATATATCACCTGTGAGAAATTTCCAGTTTGAGTCATAAATTGAGATGATTTCTAGCTTTTCAGTAAATATTTCATCGAAGGGCCTTGTAAATATGTGGCCACATTGTCCCTATCACCAATTTTCATAATATAAACAGACTAGTTTCAATATTCTCAACAATCAATATTTACCAATAATATTTGTTACCTACCTGTCGAATTTTTGAAATTTTCATCCGACAGCGAATGATAATCCGGGATAATCATCAACACTACGAAAATGTTGAAACCAACTATTATTCCGACCATATCTGATTTATTCAAGTTTTTATATCCTGGATTAGTATTCACCATCATATGAAAAACTTGTATATTCGACAGAAATAAAAAAAAACTTTCTATACTCTGTCTTCTGAATGTTGAATGTTGTTGAATTTGAAACCAGTGTGTGACAAAAAATTGTGTCAGCAATAAGGTAAATATGAAAATTTGTGATATGAAAAATGTTGCCAAATATTTACAAATCCACTGAAAGACTAGAAACTATTCATTTTCATGACTAATACTCGGAATATCATATAGGTAATATATATTCTTGAGAAGCGCGAAGCATCATTATTTCAAATATAAAAAATATACAGGGTGATTCATTTAAAACAACATAACTTTGGAAAATCTGACTATGCCACTGAATTCTACGTTTAAAATGTGTGAAAGGCAGTCTTCACTTTCTCTATGAGTTGAAAGATAACTGATTCCAACCTGTATCTCAAAAAATACACGAGTTATGAAAATTAGGTTCGTGGTATCGTGGGTTTCACACAAAAAATGCCAACGCTCGTGAGAACCACAAATGTCTATCTCTGAAAATAAGTTTTTTTCAAAGTCCATACGGGATATGGATTTTGAAAATGGGACAGCCAGTACATCCTACTATTAGATACTTTTGCAACATTTCAGTTTCATTTGTAAATTGTGCATGTATTGGATATTTTGATTCTGGTAACAGTGTCGAAAAACACAACGCAGTGCTTCCGTAACTATGTTCAGTTCAATCATCGATTTTTGGAAGATTTTCGATAGCTCTGAAAACATTTTTCCTGACATTCATTGTGTAATTATGTTAGGTTGGGTTACTAGATCTGGTAACATATCTTAGGTTGGGTTACTAGATCTGGTAACATATCTTAGGTTAGGTTAGGTTAGGTTATCTAACACCCCATTTTGATTATTGCTGCAATTTCGGAAACACCTCGTATAGTAGATCATAAAAACAGGGACTAAAGTGGCACTTTTAATCCCGATGCGAAAAGATTCTTGCCAGACCCACTGGAGGTATTTTGCCAGGAATATTTGGCGATTGTCACGATAGCTAGTTCTCTAGTAATTTCGCGAATGATTTGTTTAGTAAATCTCTCTAGCCGTAGGCGCGAGGTTCAGGTACAATGTCATCAGCGACGGTAAAGCAGCAAGGTATAGTATCTTAATCGACGAATAGTATGACTATTTCATAACCCTGAAAGAATTGTTTTTATGGGATAAATGTCTCTTCCTAATGAAAAAAATTCGCCAACCATTATCAGAGTGCTAGATGGAGACTACCCTACACTGATGAGATTCAAAGAGCTCGAAACAAGTCTGTAGGTGTCGAGTGTCACCCTGACTGAATCGAAATAAATAGGCATTCAAGAAAGAAACACTTGCATCGATATTCGTTTATACGAGTCGATGTGTATATTTCGGGAGAATGTAATTTAATATTCTGCGTGGCATTAGTCACGACACTAGTTGCTTTTCTTGCGTCATATATCTACCATTGATTCCTATCTTATTGATATTTGTGGAAATTACTTCGAGCTTTGTAGACATTTATTTGACATTTTTGTCCACTCTGAGCATTTTGGCTTTGTCGTAGTTGAAATCAACCCAGTCGAGCAATCAGTCTTTTCCACATCTCACCGATATGGAAATTACAGTTTCGATGTGTTTTTCTCCATTTTTTCATTCAGATGGCGTTACACTCATATTGTGTAGGAAATAACGCTTCTGAGGAAATAACATGCCGACCTGATCTTTGTTGGGCCAGTTTGTGATCAGCTAGCGGTCTTCGGACTGCTAGCTGGATACTACCCTACACTGATGGAAGTCAAAGAGCTCGAAACAGGTCTTCAGGTGTCGAGCGTTAACCTGGATCGAATGAAATCGATAGGCATTCAGGAAAGGCACACTTGCTTCAGTATTCTTTCGTATTTTCATTCTGGGTGTAACAGGATCATGGTACACCAAACCATTTTGATGATCCTAATTTGGTGATAAATCAAAAAATTCTACATTTTTGACAGAATTCAATTTTCCAGCAACACACCAATCGATATAAGTACCAGACCAGACTGGAATAGTCATGCAACTCTATGGAAAATCAAAAATTTCGAAATGTCACTTATGTGGTATCATTGGATTCAGATAATGAAGCAGATTTCTGGAATGCAATGATCACAGGGTGTTCCATCTGCGAATCGAAAGGTATTACCACTTGCGGTGGAACCAGAAGTATAAAATAAAACATATTTATGTCAAAACGTGACGTTTATCAAGTTGATGGATCATTCCAAATTCCAGTCATCTCTGAAACTGAAGGAGAAAATGGGGGTGTACCATGATCCTGTTACATCTGGTATATAGATTTTGGAAAGAAGTAATGCAATGTTCTGCGTGGCATTAACCAGGCCGTCATCTACCATTGTTGATAATTTCATGAACATTTGAGGACATTACTTCGGGCTTTGTATCTTTTCATTCGACCTATTTTTGGATATTGAAGAGATATCATCAGTTCTCAGTATGAAATGAAATGAAATGAAATGAAAATCAATTCACCTTGATGAACATAAAAAAGTACAAAAGGTGAGTCACAAATAGGAACATTGTTTCATACACAAATACTACAAAATAAAAACTATATATAAAAAATGTGTGGAACTATTATGAATTAAAATTATCATTGATAAAAACTAAACACGTGCTGTTTGGCTATTATTAAAAAATTCTTTCAAAGAATAAAAAGACTTTTGTTGGAAAAATGTTTTCACGTCGTTCTTGAATGAACTGTAGGTGGGTTTTGATTTGATATCATCTGGTAGAGCATTATAGAAGATAATTGTAAACGGGAGATTTTCGAAAGGTACTTGTTTTGTAAGTAGGTACTCGGAGGCTTTTGGTTCTTGTGTTGTAATCATGGATATCAGACTGTTGTTGGAAGTTAATTAGGTATTTTCTGGTTAAATTGACACACTTCATGATGTGAATAGATGGTACTGTTAATATTCCATATTTTTTGAATATTTCTCGACAACTTGCACGATATTCCAAATCGAAAATCAGTCTTACTATTCTCTTTTGCGATACTTAAACTCTGTTGAAATCATTAGCACTTCCCCAAGATATTATACTGTATGTAAGATGACAGTTAGCAAATGCATAGTAACGGTTCATTAGAGTTTCTTTGTTGAGATAAGATTTCATTTGTAAAATTCCATAGAAAGCTTCATTAAGTTTATCGCATACATGGTTGATATGATGATCAAAGCTCAAATCAGAGTCGAGCAAAGTACCTAAAAGTTTAGCATGTGTTGTAAAAGGGAAAAGGAACTTTCCTTTGATTGAATTGGGCAACGTATTATGAAGGTGAAAATTAACACATACTGTTTTCTCTTTGTTGAGAATTGAAGAGTGTTTGTGACACCAAATTTCCATTTCCTTACATATTTTCTCGATCTTTATTTGCATTTCCTCGATAGACCTGCTCGCGACCGTTATCGTTGTATCGTCTGCAAACATATAGTAACTCTATACCTTCACTGATAAAAGTAGGTGAGTCATTCACAAATAGTAAGAACATGATGGAAATTTCAGGTGAGCGCCATCTACCAAGACCCCTCCTTAGACTCCAACCTCAAGCTCGTCGTGACCAAACTCCTGTTCTACGAGCGCGAGAAGCACCACGTGATCCGCCCAGGCAACGCCAAAAAGTCCCTGGAGAACGTCAACCTGTGGAACAGGAAGCTGCACGCTAACGCAGCCGCCTCCAGGCACGACGTGGCCGTCTGGCTGACCCGATCTGACATCGGGGGACCGTCGGGGTACGCGCCCGTGGGCGGGGCCTGCGACCCCAAGAGAAGTTGCGCCCTCAACAGGGACGAGGGGCTGACTAGTGCTTTCATCATTGCCCACGAGACTGCGCATATGTGAGTTTCAGTGAATTTTACAGGGTCATCTGAGCATAGAAAATAGAAATTCAAAATTCCGCGTATTGCCGTATGGGGGCGGCTCAGAATACCCCTCATGGTAAATCCTGCCTGTCGAGAAAGGCGACTAAAAGGATTACTTTAGGAGGTAGATGGTCTCATCACCCGGTGAAATACCACCATATCGACTTTGTGTGCTGTGAAATGGATCACTCTATGTTTCAGTGTTCGGTCGATACTTTTCGGTTCCCCCCGCCTCCCTTTCCCAATTTCTCCTCTATGAATGAAGATGATGAAGTCTCCTAGATTGAAACATTCCGGAAGTGAAATACCTCTCCAACCGGATTTCCGGGCGAGAGGTACTCAAGGGGACTCATCTCTGAAGATCAATTTCTGCAACATCCGCGGACTCAACAAAATCATCAATGACGTCCTTCATCATCTACAAACGGAAAAACCAGATATTTGGGCACTAACAGAAACTCAAGTGAACTCGTCCACCAACAAGGTCCACATGCTCTGTCCTGGTTACGTACTCCATTCTCGATTCAGGTTCGAAGGTGGATTCTGCCTCTACGCTGAGGCTAACCTTTCATGCCAGCGTGTAGAGAGTTTGGAACCGAAAAACTTTGATGTGATGTGGTTCAAGCTGGTCGATACCAAACTGATCAAATCCATCTGCTGCCTTTACCCATCGCCTTATGATAATGAGTTTTTATCACTCAAACTAGACTTCATTCAGGAGAACCATCCATCAGCCGAAATCATAATCATGGGAGACTTCAATGTACACAACGCAGCCTGGCTCAAATTCTCTAACAAAATAAATGATGCAGGTCGTCAAACTGAGGCCTTCGCCATCACTCACGGTCTAGAACAACTAGTCGAACCACCAACCCGCAATCCATTGTCAACAACCATTCTGCCAATACACTAGATCTTTTTCTCACCAGCAAATTTGATCCATATAGAATGGAAGTTTGTGCCCCACTTGGAAACTCTGACCACACCTTCATCTCCACAACCTGCTCTTTTCATGTACCATCCAGCACCACAATTCCTCGTATGTTTTTTTCAGCGTTCCCATGGAAGAGAGTTTGTTTCTTCTCAGCAGATCCAACACGATGTGCTGAGACAATTTATGGAATCATCATGTTGGAGATGCAAACCTTCACACCGAACACTGCAAGGAGGACATCTCCCGATATAGCCTAGTTCACTTCCAGCTCGTTTCCTCTTCTGACCAAGGAACACTAGTTCCAACTGCGCAGGAGAGAGCTAACATTTCTGCGCATTTATTCGCTGGAAATTCCACTCTGAATTCATCGGGAAAACAACCTCCAAGCGTAACGCCAATTGACAGTCATGTGCCCGAGATCACCTTTCGCCAACGTACTATAAGGAAGATTTTATTGGGTTTCAACACCAACAAAGCTTGTGGCTCCGACGGAATCCCACCGATTGTTCCCAAGAAATGTGCTCCCGAACTAACACCTGTTTTCTGCAAGTTGTCAACTATGCTTCCAAATTGGGGATATTTTCGTCGAACTGGAAATTTGCAAGAGTACAACCAGTACCTGAAAAAAAAAACCTACCTAGCAACTACAGACCGATCGCACTGCTATCTATTATTTCAAAGATCATGAAAAAAGCTATCAACATCGAGCTCATAAGATAACTGGAACATTCAGCTATTATCAACGATAGGCACTATAGCTCTCGTCATCAGAGATCAACTGGCGACCTGCTCACTCACGTCTCACATATATGGCAGCAATCTATCGAAAAATATGGTAAAACCTTAGCCGTGGCACTCGATATCTCCAAAGCATCGATCGAGTCTGGCACAACGGGCTCCTCGCCAAGCTTCCATCTCATGGCTTGCCTCCCAAGCTATGTTCTCTGCTAGCTAGTTTTCTCTCACACAGGTCTCTCCATGTAGTGGTCGACGGAGTTTCATCTGACTCTCTTACCAATAATGCTGGTGTTCCGCAAGAATCAATTCTAGTACCAACACTATTTCTACTCCATATCAACGATTTGTTGGAAGCAACTTCATGTCCAGTACATAGCTTCGCGGATCATAGTACCCTCCATACGGCCTTCTTTTCCAGGGCTCCAATACCAGCCAGGCAAATCAGAAACGAACGAGGGAGAAATGTTGGCAACACAAATATGGACTTGGCAACAATTCTCGAATGGGGATATATTAACTTGGTAGATTTCAATGCAAACAAATCACTGTGCCAAACTTAAGAATGTCAGGAATAACCATATCTGCAAAGACATCTATTTCGATGCTTGGTATCACTATCAGCGATAACCTTTCTTGGGAAAATCACGTGAGATCAATTGCGAAAAGTGCATCCCAACAACTTGGTCTTCTGTTCCTGGCCAGGAGCTATTTCACTTCCAGTCAGCTACTTATGATCTATAAGGCACAGATCCGACCTGTTCTGGAATACTGTTCCCATAATATTTGGTGTGCAGCACCCAAACATACCATGAAAATGTTGGATTCTGTTCAAAAAAGGGCGATTCGTCTCGTAGGTGATGCCTCGCTCACAAACTCACTCACTTATCTGGAACACCGTAGAAAAGTTGGTGATCTGGCTCTATTTTATAGATATTTCCATGGACGATGCTCTTCTGGAGTATCAACAATTGTACCGTTCTTGGCAGTCCCCTCGAGATCAACCCGTCGAGTTGAGGCTTCGCACCCCTTCGTGGTCACTTTGGAGACCTGCAGAACATCTCTTTCCAAAGACTCGTTCATCCAACGAACACCGAGGGATATAACCTTCAGAAATTCAACAAGAACACCAATTCCTACCTCATTTCCCTTGGTTCTCACGATGTTCTCTGAACATTACAGGATATCCCTTTCCGAACCACAAATTAACATCGCTATGATTGACTGAAAGATGTAAAAAACTGCACAGACGATGATTTTTTACGAATGTCTTGAAATTCCATGTTTCTTCGACACAATAGGTCATCATCATGTCTTATAGCTGAGCAGCTATCGCAGCACTGAGCTTCCCTGTAATAAGCTAGATCTGAAATAATCTGAGACTGCCAAGGAAACTGAACAATCTAGGCGAAGCAAATAAGGTCACCCTTCTCTTGGTTCTGGGGCATACCGGACTGAATGGGAAAAATAGCAGATATAACTAGGTGCTCACGGTGAAAGGGATTGAAACACCATTTATGCGACCCAAACCCTTCTGAGATATCAGTGAAATAATAATATTCGGGGAATTGAACGAAGAAATGAATCTCAAGAGTGCCAAAAACTGTCTGGCAAAGCCAGAAACAGCTACAGCCGAACAAAGGATGCATTGAGAGAATCATAAAACATCACAATGATTTCAAAACTCATAGATTGTTCCAATGGCTCCTGCTCGTTTTGGTCCTTCGCTGAAACTGTCGGAAGCAATCTCACTAATAGTTCATTCCCACCACTTTCCGATAGCACATCAGCAACAACATCGCGAGAGAATGATGACATTTTTGCAGAGATGTTTACAGCAAACTATACCTCAGATTCCAAGACGAGAGTACCGCCAGACATTTCAAGCCTGCACAAAAACTAGGAATCATTGATGATGAAGAATATGGCTATCGCCACCGATGATCGATTAGGCAAGTTCTGGCATTCCATAAGGATACATTTTGACACCAACATTGTTCCTACTTCATTGCGATGATCTGTTGCCCTATCCACAACTTTTGCAGACGATAGTACCTACTCTCCATACTGCGTTCTCTTCTAGAATTCCAATTTCGACCGAAAAACAAAAGAATTTCAGCAAGCTAACGCTGTCAATGACAACGTTGGCGAATTAACAGCATGGGGACGCAACAACCTGGTTGAACTCAATGCCACCAAAATTCAAGTCTGTATTTTCTCTAGGAAACAGGAACCCAATATGCTCGATAAAAACAATGTCTGGTACCACCATTCCCACCAAGACCACGATACAGAGAAGTTTTTTTTTTATCGCTTGGAGCGCACGAAAGGGAATCCCTATAATGACCAGTGCTGTAACTTCTGATTCATTCGATATTATATTTGCATGGAAAATTGATGGGTAGCAAGTATGCCAGATCGCTAAATTTATTGACAATCTAACACATTCGGTTTCACCGAGAACGACCCCAATTTTCGATTTTTGAATAGAATATCCTGTAATTAATTTCATAATAGGTTAGGGAATATCATAGCAAATTGAAGAAATTGAAGATGAAGATATATGCTGCAATTTTCCATATGCTCAGTGAGTGTGACAGAGAAAAAAGTATCGATATTGCGAAGTTACACCCATTGAGCATATGGATCCATCGAACGCCAATATATCCGTGATCTTCTGATATATACCACAAAACCCTGTGTCATTGAATTCATCATGATGATCCCAAACCGATTATTGCATATAAAATACATCAGGGTATCGAATTTGAAAATCGAATGTTGGGGTCTTTTTCAGTGGAACCGAAAGTGATAGAACAAACATGTTGTGTTTGTTAATGAATGGGCAGTTTGGTATACTCATCAATTTTCAGGAACTGATCTCGAATGATCCAGACGGTACAGCACTGGCCATTTCTGTGCATTCCACTGTATGCTCGGTTTTTCCATCAGCAATACTATATCATGAAAAAATCATCTTCGATCCATCTCGAAAGCTGCTTCACAAAAACTTGGATTTTTATTTCATGCAAGAAACTTCTTTACACCTCTACAACTTCTCATAGTGTACAAAGCACAGATACGGCCAGTTTCAGAAGACGCTGATAGTCTTAGATCATCTCCAGCCAGAAAAGATCCATTCGCCTAGTAGGTGATACTATACTCACTGATTCTTTGACTTCTTCAGAACACCGTGAAAAAGTCGGCTATCTCTCACTTTTCTATAAATACCAGCTAAAAATTGGACGCATTGCAAGAAGAGGGGACTCAATATATGGAATTATTTATGAGAGAATGAATGATTTGATGCTCTAATATCTGTAGTTATAAGTAAGTACTTGTCATTCTGGTTCGAAGGTAGTCAAGAATCTCGTGATGTTACATAATCGACATATTAATTGATCAGGGTAGTCCTTACAAAAAAATGAATGTCACATAGATGGAAACCCAAAGTCATCTCTACAGCTCTTATAAGAATGATCAAAGATCAATCGTGACGAAACGTGTTTTGGGTTCCTGTTTTTTCAAGAACTCCAGTGATCTAATCTCACAACTGATTTGAAATCAGACATCCAGACTAAAATTGTTGTCTGACGAGAGACATCTAGGAGTTATAGTAATATATAATATAAGTGATGGAGTCAACACTAACTACAAAAAAGACTCAAACCTTTCCTTAGTGTTGTCTTCAAGTATGAAAGACATGCTTGACAGGCAGAAGAATGGGAGTGTTCCTTCCATGAGTAATATTGTCAGAGAATAAAGTATATTACACGCCGAGGTGGAGAGAGATTCATTCCTGTCGTGAGATTAGTTAGTTAATCGAGACGCAGAGCGTCGAGGTTATGTATGATCTCGAGACAGGAATGGAACTTCCTACCGAGGTTTGTACAATATTTTATTCACAATCATCACATTTTGATCAGAATCAATGAATCTCTGTTTCGTTCTGAAAATATTACTTGAGTGAGAGCGGGAAGTAGTGAGGGCGGGAATTGAGGACGGGAAGTAGAGGTGTGTAATGTGACACTTCCCAACCTTGTTAGTAATGACAACATTAAATATATGTTTTTGGATGTGTAATAAATTGATAATAATCATACAGGACGTGGAAAGAAATTCTGAATTGGGAAAACCTAATCACGAATCTGCGATTGATGTCTATAAAAATAACAAGTTTCCATCGTTCAAGTTTGAACCCCTTGATTTGGTGGAAGTATTGAAAAGGAATATTCACAGATATAATCATAAACATAAGAAAATGGATATATACAGTGTGGTCATTTAAGTGTGCAACATATGGGAATCTTTTTAATGAATTGCACAACCAAAATACAGATAGTGCCGAAAGTTAGTGCATGTTCAGTGATCATTTCAGATGCACTTGAAATGATTGCAAGTCGAACAGTATACAGGGTGAGTCAAAAAATATAGAAATGTTAATGAGAAAAGTTGTTTGCAATTGAGAGTTATGTCAAAATACCAAAACATGACCTCCTAAGACATATTTGAGTTTTCAAATTTTTTTCGTTAATTATATCCCAATTTGTAATTTTGTTCATATTCACCCTAAACACTCACATAAATCAATCATAACAAAATCAGTTGATCATACCTTTGTTCGAATTCAAGCATATTCGTGCAATTAACTTGGATTTCAATTCTTTTAGGGAGTCACAAACATGTTTGTTGCAACGATATTCAGCTTAACTTTAAAATTTTGCAAACCATATTTTTAACAAGATAACGTCATTAATGATGATCTGCAAATTCAAAAACTTTCATTTGATGTGATCATTTTGTATTTGAAATGTTTATGAAAAAGCTGTACAAATCAATCGACAACCATGATATCAATTGAAATAATCACGAATACCCAAGGAACAAAACAAATGAGGGTTGACAGTAAACATTGAGACAGTTTGGTGACATTAACTTCTCATCTAATGATGATGATTATGTGCATATATTTATATGAAGATAGAATGCAAATTCTCTACTTCAGGAGATTTTGTTTTCAAATTCTTATCGTGTGTGTTCAATTGGTATAATTCAATGTTCGTCGTGGCATATAGCCAGAAAAGTAGTTGTTTTCTGTTGAATGAACCGAGAGAGAATTGATATTTTCAGTTTTATGTACATAATTATATCTGAAAATATTCGTTTTCATTACATATATAATATGGTTGTGAATAAAAGTAGAATCTCTACTGATGGATGGAATGGAACCGTTCTTTAGTGGAAGCCTGAATCGATTGTCGGCTGGCCTAGTGAAACTGATGTGGCTTGTCAAGCCGAAACAGTATGTCGCCTCAGCTGACAAATCGATTTACGAAATTCCTCTTAGATCTCAAAGTCTTTGAAGATCTGCATCTCTTTATTTTTGTTTCACCTATTCAATTCCACTTTGTGCTACCATTTCAGTTTGGGTTTGAGTCACGATGGAGACCTGAAAAATGGCAACAACTGTTCGCAAGAAGCGCTAGACGGAAGTGTCATGGCTCCGATGGTGTCTGCGACTTTCAATAAGTTCTTCTGGTCAGAATGCTCGAAGAAAGACTTCAGGAAGTACAGTAGGTGAGTGCTACGACGCTCTAGCATTTTACAAAATTTTATAGGTTATTTGATTTGTCGCATTCGGACTGTGCATTGAGAGATTTGGGTTGATGTTTATAGAGATGATAGTGAAGGTGTTCATTTTTCAGTAAATGGTCTTGTCTTCGGAACCAACCGAGTGGAATAGGAGATATTTCGTTGAATGCCACTCTTCAGACTGCATTTACTATGGACCAACAGTGTAGGATGGAGTTCGGAAATGGGTAAATTTATTTCTCAAACTATGTACTGCTCTCTTCAGAATTTATTCTGAATATTTAAATCATTCGAAAATATATCAACTCATCCAACAGGTTATGAAGAAGTTAGAATTATCAAAGAGCGATGAATGTATCGAAGAAAGCAATATTCTGAATTGATTTCTATCAGAGATATATACTTTAACGGCTACTACCACTTAGAACATTATAATATTCTTTGAAGCGCTAGTCTCAGATATACTGCTTCACTTCCAGGCCCTGATGATAAGAGATCACAGCGCCAAAAATAAGGCTAAACAATTAACACAAAGTCATAATAATACTCTCTGTTCTATAAAACTGAAACGACATGTTCAGGAAACCGTTTCCTGACGATGTTTCACATGCAATGAATAGCTGTTAGTTGGCCAAATTATGTAGTTGCTCTATCATTGAGATGTTTTCCAATGGGATAGTAATTCACGTAACAAGTCCGAATACTACTGTTATCTTGGATGAGTAGACAAAATTCTAGGCCGAGCCTGGGAGTCTGCAAGTCCAAAAAAAAAACTATTTTGGAAGTGTTGCGTACACTATTTTTTTGACAACCATGTAGAATAACAAATCAATGAGACTGTAACGAAGCATTTATTTTACTTCTTGCCGTTTAACGAGAATTAGTGCCATTCCTATGATTGAGCAGTGTATCTTCTGATGTCTATTGTTGAGCAGTGTATATTATAAATAGTTTGTTTCCAATTTTTCCTAAATCATACCGGAATTATCAGGGAATGCTTCGTTACTACCCCAAGACTAAGAGATTCTAGGTTTATCACATGTTAGTGGAACATTAAACCACTTTGTGATTTACAGGTGTTGCGATAGTCTACAGAATCTGACATGGATGTCTTTTCTGTAAGCATATAAACGTAGGGGTCTATATGCACGACTTAGTCGCAAGGTATGATTGATGAATCTTCCTAATACACCTTGCACTTAAGCCACTAGATGGTTATGAAGGCTAGATCGTCCTTCTACCCCCTCAGGGCTTCGACTTGTTTGATATATGGAGGTACCCTTCGTGAATCAATTGTCAGCTGGACAGTGCAACTGATGGGACTCATGGCAAGTCGAAACAGTCTGTCTTGCATCAGCTGACAATCGATTCACGAAATTTCCCTAGAATCTCTTAGTCTCGAGATCCTGGGTTTATCAATATTTTTATTGTTTTAGTGACAACAAGAATGTGATAATTTTCGACCTAGTCCGGGAAGTCCGTACTTCATGAACAAGGCCGGAAAAATGCTACTTCCTCAAAAAAAAAAGCGTCCGGGAAGTGAGCACTTTCCGGACGGTTGCAGAAAACAGAGCTTCTCGCTTATTCTGAGGTTTTATTTCTCTATTTGTAGGTTCGCCATGTGCAGAGCCTTCGAAATCATCGAACCATGTCAACATTTATGGTGTGGGCACGAGAAAAGCCCAATGGTTTGTAAGACCAAGAAAGGACCTCCACTAGAAGGCACTGAATGCGGTTTTGGAAAGGTATCTGAGTGTGGTTATTGATGAATGGTGTAGTTGTAGTATATCTATTCATCACCAGCCAACACGTTACATCACATGGCAGTTTCGCAAAGTCCTAGATTGCAACTTGAAATATGTTTTCATTCTGAACGTATTTATTTCAAGACTTTGCTTCGTTAACAAAACATTTGATATGCAGTGCTGATAATTTCAGGATAATGATAAATAGTCACAATGTCATTATCACAAAATGTGTTGAATTTCTTGATGATAATATCGTCATCGAGAAACATCACGACGAAGTCTATTCGAGAAAGTAACCATATCAAGTGGAATACAATGTAGAACTCCCAGAGAATCCTCGCATCAATGAGCCCAATGTGGTCATCAAAAGGACATTCATGGTCTTGAAAACTTTCATTGTCATTCACATTGACACCCTGCAACCTACATCTTACCACCTTCAATAAGTCCGAAACAAATCATCATTTAAGTCGAACTAAGGTGTGACATCCGCAATCTAGATGCTAGATACATCATGAGGCTTCAAGTTATTCCCAGTTTGCAGCATCTACAGTGGGAAACTATTCGCAATTCTGCAAGCAACCAAGTTTGTTGTTGACAAAGGAATACAGTCCAGTCCACTTGAAAGGCATGCAACAAATATATTCTGACAATCCCTTGATCAAAGCCGGGATTGGCGCAGTGGAAGAGCGTCCGTCTCACGACCGCAAGGTCGTGGGTTCGATTTCCAGCACGGGCAAGGAACTTTTTTCAATATTTTATTTACGAATTAAATATTGTAAAGTTTCGGAGCATCGGCTGGGGATAGTCCTGCACGATTCGCTGTTGCGTTCCAATTAACAGTGCTGCTCCTAAAGTGGCGCATGGAGTTAGTAACAAAGCCTACACAGAACACGCAGAAAGATATGATGATGTGGTTGTGAGCGTCAGAGAAGAAGTAGGACGGTGTATGTAGGTGGGTGTGGAAAAAAACTACCAGCTGAGCGTGAGAGCGGGCCAGCTGCTTAAGTAGACCTCGGTCTCGGGGGTTAACGATGATAGTTAGCAGGCCTGCCACTGCGCATATGGTAGTGAGTACATTACTAGCCTACAAAACACAGCTGAAAAACTCTGAAAAGAGAGCTGATGGGCGGTGCCTGAAAAGGATGTTAGCCAGCTCTCTTGAGCGAACCACATCAGTCATTGAAAACACTTGGGGTTGGCAAAAAGGTCCCATTGGGGACTAGTTGCTGACGTGGAAACGTCCCCCACCTGTACCAGTACCAGTCCCTTGATCAAGACCATCCAGAACCACATTGCTTCAATCAGCTCTACCTCTGGAGAGCTGAAATTCATGTGGGTTTCCTCACATGTCGGCTAGCTTCGAACACAAACTATCTACATGTTCATACCACTCCAGGTTACTTTCTAAAATGAAACCAAGCAATTTAGTATTGAGTGTGCAGGCAATTTCTGTATTATCAAAAGTTATGGGATGAGGATATTCTGAACCAGAAGATTTGAAAATGATACGAGTCGATTTATCATTATTCAGACAAATCTTGTTCACATCAACCCATGCACTCGCAAACATTCATGTAAACTAGTTCGGCCTGTTCTTTGGCATCATTAACTATTTCTGAAATGAATCAAATCAAATCGTTGATATATACTGGGTGGCCCACGAGGTTTTGGCCAGCCGATATCTCGGAAACTATTTGAACTAAAATTTTGAAATTTGGTGGTTTTAAACAGTGGAATGTGGTGTTCATTTTTTATATTTTTGTAATGCTTTTTCTACTCATTTTGTTTCGTTTCCTAATTATACTGTTGTTCTTCAATAAATTTTTCATTTTCCATTCATTTGACAGCTTATATTGTCACCGTTTCACATGAAACCCCTAACAATGATGGTATCGTAGTATTTGCATTAGAAAGGTCTCAACAAAAATGCAATAATATAGAGGGTGTTCCATTTAAAATTTTGAAGTTGATATCACGTGATTGGAAATGCGATGTTGCAATAAAACCCTCTTATACCAAAAATGGTCACCGCATTCCATTGTTCCAAACCACAAAAATTCAAAAAAATAGTTCAAATAGTTTTCGAGATATCGACTGGCCAAAACCTCGTGGGCCACCCTGTATAATGAAGAGTGTTGGACCAAGAATGGATCCTTGTGGCACACCTATTGTAGATTTCAAATCAGAAATATAGTTGTTACATCTAACCTGCTGTTGTCTATCAGTCAGATATGATGCAAACCATTGAAGAGTAACGCCCCACGAATTCCATATCTCTCCAATTCATAGAGAAGAATATTATGCCGAACACAGTCAAATGCCTTGGAAAAATCTAAAGATAACCCCAGCGCCACTTGTTTATCATCAAGACGATATATAGACAAGTTATATCATTGAATGTCAAAAAGTTAATTATATTTTTGTTAACGATAGCTTCGAAAATTCTGCTTATGCTTGAGCATAAAGTAATAGCCCTTGAATTATCCATAGTATTTGAATCACCTTTTCTGTGAAGTGAAATGACATTAGATATCTTCAACCTAGAAGGAAAAACACCTTTTTGAAGAGATACATTGATAATGTGAGTGAGAGGTACAGCAATGTGTTCAGCGATTTCCTTCAACAGCACTTTCGATACACCATCATAACCTGAACAATCTGTATTCTTTCAATCTCTTATAGCTTCCATTACATCTTCACATTGCACTGGTGCAAAAAATATATTTTTGATAGAGGCACTGATGCAGGTATCAATATATGCCTAGTCTACAGTAGATGAGAGGTCACAAGTGACTTATGAAGCTGGAGACAGAAAAAATAATTGAAAGCATTTGCACAATCACCCCCTACTAACATACCATTGTCAATGCATAGCTCAATTGGGTGATGTATTTTTGTTTAAAACCCACCGTTGGAGTCTTTCCGTTTCCCCATAGAACACCTTGTATTAAACCTCGAAATTATTCTGATCCCGACGATCTCTTCCGCAGTGGTGTATGAACGGCTACTGCGAGGACTTCGCTAACCGTAGGGTGGAGAGGGGGCCGATAGTGCTGAACCCCCAACACGGAGAGTGGGGCGAGTGGGGACCTTGGGGAGTGTGCTCCCGGCCGTGCGGGGCGGGGGTCAGATTCCGGACCAGGAAATGCGACAGTCCTCCGTAAGTGTACCAGTCCCTTTTTTTCAGTTATGGGATTTCAATATTATCATATTATAATTATTACCGTGAAACGGGGTTACTTTGCATCTCCAGGTAACTTTGCCATGAGTTCCTGAAAAATCTGAAAACATTTTTCATTTCTCAACTATTAATACTAAATTGGCGTGACTTCGCCTATCGGATCTTCTGGATCCTCCGTTAGTCAGGTATCAATAGATTCCAGATAATAGGCTAGAGCTCTAGGTGCCGAAAATCACCTGCCTATTTGGAGAAAGTTTTTGTTTACGTGCGACAGAATATGGTTCCGTAAGTATCTTCTGGAATGTTTTGTTCCAATATCTCCATAGTTGTGACCTCAAAATGCCTAGCTATTATCTATATTCTTACAGGTTTTCAAAACATTAAATCGATAACTTGAAAAATTTTCGGGGGTTGGCAAAGTTCTACGATAATTTTTTAATTTCGGGATTACTTTGCCATAAATTAATGTCATGATTTGTAGGTCCGTAACATGGCTAGGACGACAAAGGAGTCGTCACTATGTGAATACACTCCTGAAACATCAGAACAGACTGTTGATGCCATAAAATACGCATTTCATGTAAAAGAGCGTCAAAAATATTCAATATACCAAGGATACAACACTCTCATCAGTGCAGTAGTCCAAATACCGCCGACTAAGCGTAGCCTAGCCAAACAAAAATCAATTCGGCATTATATTCCCTCAGAAGCGTCCTCCATAGACAATATGAGAGCAACGCTATCTGAGTACAGAAGGAGGAGAGAAACACTACAAAACCAAAATTGCCATACGGGAGTGGCTGGTTGCGCGACTGCCGTAATTCCAACTTTGAAATAGCTGCAACGCTCAAGGTGGAATGAAATGTTAAATAAATACATAGAGCTCAAAGTCATTTCCACACAATGGTCATAAAATAAACAACAATAATGGTAGATTTCGAGATAACATTTGTTTATAGCAGGGAACATAGTGAATACATAAATATATTTGACAAAATAAAATAAAGAAGACAGTAAAATAAGACTCACACTCAAAAAGAATCTTTTTTTTTATGTTCAAATGAAAATGATTCTCAATTGACTCAGCTGTTAGGTACCCAATTGAAAACTATAGTAGTTGTACAAGAAAACTATAAAAATGAGATAAGATGTCAATATTACAGGAGTAGATGTTTCTTGAATTCTCTTTTAAATTTTTCAATCCTATAATTCAGCTTCAAGTTTTTTGGTAGTGAATTGTATTGTATCATTCCATTGTGATAGATGGATTTTTTACCAATATCTGATTAAATTTTTTTGACAGAAAAATGATCTGCTTGTCTGTTTGTATGGTTGTGGTGATTACTATTGATTTGGAAAACCAAATTTGAATGCTTTTGACAATGTTTAACTGAATGAATGAACGACATTAATTTGAATTTATATAGTGAATCTATATCTAATAATTCTCTTCTTCTATGAAGGTTCATAGTAGGTTCCAAATAATTTATTCTGTATATATACATTTGATAATTTTATTTTGAAGAGTTTTGAGAGGCTCCATAATTGATAGTTTTGTTGAACCCCATAGAGAAATCCAATATTCAAATTTAGAATAGATCAAAGAGAAGTATATAGATTTGAGACATTTTATAGGAACTTGACGTACCCTAAAAAGTATACCTATTATTGGAGATATTTTTTTCCTAAGTATTTCAATATGTTTAGATCATGACAAATGTTCATCTATGTACAGACCAAAAAACTTGATATACTTTGAATATTTTATGACTTCATTATTACATGCAATTGGAAATTTGTACTCATTATATCTTGATTTTTTTGAAATGATCATAAATGCTGATTTGCTATAATTTATACTCAATTTATAACATGATAACCATATGATGATAATATTTTCAAATCACTTGAAATATCATCCCTAATTTGTTTTGCTCAATCTGCTGAATAGATTAAGGTTGTGTCATCGGCAAACATATGAATTTTACCTTTCAATTTCAAATTTGCAATAGAGTTGATATAAATAAGAAATAGAATAGGGCCCAATACTGATCCTTGCGGTACACCGCATACTATTTCCTCGCTCTTACTGAATGATCCTCTCAAATATACGAATTGTTTCCTATCACTCAAATAATTTTGAAACCAGTCGTAGACAGGACCTCTTAGACCAATACAATACAATTCATTCAAGAGAATTTCATGATTTACAGTATCAAATGCCTTCCTCAAGTCATTTGATAGGAGTCCACATATCTTGTTTGTATCTAGTTGCAATTGGAAATCTGTTACAACATCCATAACTGCGGACTCCGTATCACATGACCCCCGAAAGCCATATTGATGACTGTAAAGATATTTCTTTGCCTCTAGATATTCTTGCGATCGGTAATTCATTACTTCTTCTATGATTTCAGAAATGAACGAATACTGATGCAAGTGATTCTTTTATGAATGCCTATTGATTTCGATTCAGCCAGGTCACGCTAGATACCTACAGACCGGTTTCGGGCACTTTGACTCTCATCAAAGCAGGGCGGTCTCCATCCAGCAGCCCTAAGACCGCCGACTGAGCGTAGCCTGGCCAAACAAGAATCAAGTCGGCATTATATTCCCTCAGATGCGTTCTCCATAAAAATATGAGAGCAACGCCATCTGAGTAGAAAAGAAGCAATGAAACACTCCAAGATCAGAATTTTCATACGGGAGTGACTGGTTGCCCGACTAGCGTAATTTCGAGTACGAAATAGCCACAATACTTGAAGTGGAATGGAAGGTTAAATAGATACAGAAAGCGCAAAGTCATTTTTATAATCTTTGTAGCATTCTATTTCGTTTCCCTCAAATATTCTTCTTCATTTCTCAAATAGGAAGCAACAAATAAAATATATCCAAAGAGTTATTTCCCACTTTCGGCGTCATGACCACTTTTGGCAAAGTGTCATTGATCCTTTATACAGGATGTTAATGAATAACTGATGGACTGACAGGGGCTGATTTCTCGAGATATTTCAAAGAATAAAGTTCACATAAACATGTATCCTAACTTGCTCCGTTTTCGAGATACAGGTTATTATTATTTCCATGAAAATTCGTTGTTTTATTCATTACTCAAATGTCATTTAACCAATTTCAAGAAAATTTGATGGTTCTGTAGAACGTAACATGGAGCTTCTTTTGAGTGATTTAATCCAAAATAATATTTTCAGTGGCGTCACAGTGGGTTGATTTATCGGTATTTACTTTTAATATCATTGTACGCCACTTGTTTTTCTGACATCCATATTTTCATTGGATTAAACAATTGAAATATCAACTTCCCCATCCTCTGTGTCTCTTTTGTATCTTGCTTAGTATTCGAGGAAACGATTAAAATTCGATTTGACTCCCAATTTTAATGTAGGTGCTCTCGAAACAATCATTGAGATTTCTCAATAACCCCAACTAGAATCATTTTGAAATTTTGGAACTTTTTCGGTCTCCAACCATACTGAATTTTCGCATCGTGAGAGCTTATACAGCGTCGGTATAAATAAAAACAATTGACACTTTCGACTTCAACATCCTGGGATGAAGTGAACAATATACTACCCGAATCACAATCGGGTTTCAGGAAGACGAGAGGTTGTATTGACAATGTTTTTAGTCTGAACGCCATAATACATTTTCACCTGAGACTCAAAAAGCGTAAAATATTCGTTGCCTTTGTCGACTTTAAGGGAGCATTCGACTCGCTTGACCACGAGCTACTGTGGAAAAAATTGTACGAGTTGGGTGTGTGTGAATAATCTCTATTGCAGAAAGTATATACGACAAAGCAACCATGAGAGTAATGAGCTCGAACATCATGACACAACCAATTGAAATTACCACTGGAGTACTCCATTACTTTTTTCCTTATTTTTATCAGATATTGAGAGTTATTTTATCAACAGTGGTGTAGGGGGAAGAACATAGATAACAAAAAAGATACAATAATGCTGTCATATGCTGACACGAAGGTTGATCTCCAAAGAAACCTCAAATGTTTAGAAGAATATGTTGCTCAAAACCGACTCACCATAAATACAACAAGAACAAAAATTGTCGCTTTTGCTAGGAGCAGCACGAAAAAGACCAATGAATATAACTTTCGCATAAATAATAAAAAAATTGAGGTAATAAATAATTTTACGTATCTCGGTGTAACCTTCTCATCTTCCTTGATGTACCGCGAAATGGCCACGAGTACATCAGACAAAGCCAAACAGGCCAGTGGATCAATTATCCCAATAATGTCCAGAGCAAAAATGAACTCATGGGCCTCACGAATGTATTTATTTGACGCCCTCATAACTAGTATAGTACCTAATTGTCTTCCAGTATGGGGTTTGCGTTACGTTGATATTCTCGAACGAATTCAGATAACTTTTTCGAAAAGAATTCCTTTACTTCCAAAAAATACAGCGGATTTTGCTGTGAGGAAGGAAACAGGAAGAGTGAAGATATCCTACTGTATATTCAAGAATAGTCTCAATTGGCTCATTAGAATATTTCAAATGAATGACAATCTTTTGCCAAGAATAGCTTTACTACGCCTCATATCATGACAGTAAAACAACGAACCGAAATTTAACTGGATAAGCCAATTGAGAGAAAAAGAAATTCACTCTCCAAACATTCGAGATTAAACTAATACAAAAAGACCTTGCTCTACAAGCACGATCTACTTATCTAACCCATTTATACACATCTAGCAATAACTCCTGGTTGCCAGCCCTACCTGAATCTAAACTTGCCTCTTCATATAGTCCGCATACTAGTCCAACTTCGCGTGAGAAATCATTAGATAATCAAATTCAACTTTAAAGGCTACTTATACAAGATAAATCCGAACGAAATATGTACAATATGTGATATTGCTTGTTCCAAAACAATCCTCCATATATTATTTGAATGCCCAATTTTTTCTTCAATGAGACCAACAAACCTTGCTTTCCTCACCAGCCCTCAACTTCTCGTAGATGCGCTCAACAATATAACTCCTCCTTCTTCAAAATCAATATTTCATCACTTATGGAACATTTTGAAATTGGGATCTTTCATTGTGAACGAATGAAATCATACTGTGTCAGTAACGTGTTTTCTGCATCAACCTTCCTCAACGGCTCATTGTTTACTGTTTTCTTTCATCTTTTTCTTATTCTCTGTATTAATTAGGTATCAACATTTGGTATAGTTTATATAAAATCAAACTCTTTGTTATAAAAACTGTAGTTTTTTAGAAACAAATAAACTGATTGATTGATTTGATTGATTGAACATCCTGTATATGAAAAACGAAGCAAGTTAGGTCTTATGTTTATATGCATTTAATTTCCTAAAATATCACATCAGGTAATCACCCCCTGGAGTTTGTCGCACTTCTTCACTAACACCCTGTATAGGTCAGTGAATTTCTTACAGGCCATCTTATGGTGGAAAGCAGTGCGTGGGGAAATCAGAGCAATGGAGTATCTGCAGGGATCAGGAATGTTCTGAGCAGCTAATGGACATGCGGGCTCTGCAATGCAAACAGCTACCGTCACTTTTCGATTCAGAGGGAAATCGACATCTGAACTTCACCTGGCTTCCTTACGAGAGTGACGAAAGTACTGATACATGGTGTCCCGTGACTCGATGAAATAGAAATAAAAATAGTTTTATTCATCACTAAAATTCCCACACATGCACAATTACAAGATTGAATACATAAGAAAACTTATTGGACTAGTCAAAAGAGTGAAGAAATGGAACACAAGTTTTCGATCTCGAACAAATTTGAAAAAAAACTATACATGTATGAAAGAAACTATCTAAGCACTGAAAGCAAGAAATTCATCCATACTGTAGGAAACCAAATAGTCCATTTCTAATAACAGTTCTACTCTTATTGATCCCTATAAAAGTTGTCATTTCATTGAAGCATTTGATACCCAAATATTTTGGGGAATTCTGATGAGTCACACTCAAGCGAGAGTAGGGGTTGGTATGAAGTATCTTCACTCAGAGTAGCGTAATTATGTATACCAAAGTTTTTTGAATATAGGGGTTTATTCTCATATAAATGAATAACACTAGCTGTAATATAAAAAAGGCACGGCAATGGTAACATGTTGAATTTTTCAAATAGTGGTTTACAAGTGTCCAGTGTACGAGCCTTGTCCATACAGCGAATGACTCTTTTTTGAACGTTAAAAATGCGGTTAGTATATGCAGACTTACCCCAGAAGATTGATCCATACTGTAGCCTATAGATTGTACTAGTCCATAATACATGAGTTTTATAGCTTCCCCTCGCATGTTAGCTTCTGATGCAGAATTATTCCTGAAAATCTAGCTAACTGACAGTATTTCAGAGTTTCACCACACATGTTGATGTTGTTCATTAGATCTGGCTTTGAGGTATCGTTTTTGGATAAGAAATTGATGAAATTGAATTTTCTTATATTGCAGACAAGGTCATTTTGTCGCTACAGAATTTACTGAATTCATCGAATGCATATAATCACCCAAGTTTACCAGATTTTTCAAGTTTTCGCTCATTGCTCAAGGGCATATTCCTCGAATAACTCCAAGTCGAAAGTGTCATATACACTTTTGCCCAAAACTCTATGGTTGAGGAGTAATGAGCAATATCAAATCTAACAGAAGTGTGTTATGAGGCGCAATTTAGAAATTTTCAATTACTCACACAAATTTTATTGAGGTTTTGTTCAAAATACCTTCCCCCTGCTGCTTCCCAACACATTCTAGCTCATCTAGATTATTGAAAATGTTGCTCTCTGAAAAGTATCTGGGACTTCTCTTGTGGATGCAGCTGTAGTCACGATTTTTTTCAATAAGCTCATCTCTGGTTTCTGATTGATTTGACTACAGTAGTTTTTTCATTGGAACCCAGGTGACATCGGTGGCCAAAAAACTGGACCGCCTCTTGAAATCTACTGGTGAGCAGAGTTGTTATTCAATTGCACCTTCTCAACTATTGAGTTGAAGGCACTTTCGGCTGAAAATTGTTCAAGGAATATGCCCTCAAGCCATGGCCATGCATCGAGTCACGGAACACCCTGTATATTCTGAGCCACGAAGTTCTTTCAATCTTGTTGATGATTATCTGTTGCAGATGCTAAGAAGTGCAAGTTTATTTGCCTGAATGCTGAGAGGAAAGAACTTTATATCAGCTCTGAAAATCTGATAGATGGTACACCTTGTTCCTACGACAATGAGGACAATATTTGTGTTCAGGTGATTATTTCACTAGCCAGAGACAACTTGTATTCTTGCAGGAACACTAGCTGTCTTTCAATTCTGATTGCTCCAACAGCGTTGGTGCATGTTTTCAACGATGTAATCATGGATAGCGAAAAAAAGTCTGCCAGTTTGACATAAAATAATTAAAGCTGTAGATGTCAGAATGGATCACTTTGGATATATGCCTTGTTCATTCATAATACATGCTTCTTATTAGATTAGATTTAGAATGGAGCCTTCGGGCTATCTGCCTCCACACCGCAACCTTTTCAGATATATTGTGTCTGCCCTCAAAATCGATTAGAGTTCTTCGGCTAGCCCCGCCTTTTCTATGAGACTCCATAGGCAAGCTTTCAGATCCCCTGTGTATCTTTGGGGTCATGATTTTTCCTCACCCAGCGTGAGGAACCTTAGATAACATTCACGACTTGTACCATAATGATCGTCTTTATGATCCTTATTACATAAATAACTATTAGTTAACTTGCATAGAGTTGACTGCTCAGATTGCCACCTGCGGCTATCTGAATAGATTGCAATGGTTTTGCCATTGAACTCTTGCCTTATCCATTCTTTCACGCAATGATTTATTGCAAAATTTCTGCCTGAAACACCGTCGCGTATTCACCTAAGCTCAGTGAGATTCTTGTCTTTGGCTTGGCCCAAGAAATACCAGCTCCTGATCCCTCCTCAGTTTTGGAGCCGTCCGTATAGTCAGCAATGTGTGCATTGATAGAAGGTCATGCTTCTCATATGCTGCATGGAATAGTCTAGCAAAATGCCACTCTGTTCTGAGTATCATCTCATTATTCTGTCCCATCGCTAACTTAATTGTGTTGCCATATACCAATGTGTTGCGTACAAGAACTGTCAGATAACCGACCCTGGAGGTGAAACATCGAAAAACAACTTCACTTTTCTTATTTGTTTACAAATGATTGAAATAGTTTTTCACAATTATTTTGGCATACCTACGAATCGTGTTCTTCAGCTATTCATCAATTCGCGCATGCCATCACATTGTGCTGTTGTACATACATTACACAAAAAATGCAGCGGAAGACGAAGGAATCCGGTTGGTACATTGTGATTCAAAACTCAGTACCTACTATAGTAACTCACATATAGTTTTCATTTTGAAATTTGGTAATTTCTCAGATTTCCCATCGGAATTCCTTTTGTTCCTAAAAGAATGCATGAAGATTGGATTTATGCAATCAAACGGGAGGACTGGTCTGTCATACTGACGAAATATGATCGTGTATGTTGTAGACATTTTCAATCTATTAGCAGTATTAGCATCTATTGCAGAAGTGGCAGTATGCATTTTAAAAAGAAATGACAAAATTTCATAATGAAAACTATGCTGTGAGATTACTATTTACCTGAAACAATATATTCTTTCGTCTCTCGCTGTGTTTTTTGTGTATTGTACAACAGCACAATGAGAAGGCATGCTTGAAATGAATAGCGCAAAAAACAAATCCCCAGATTTTTCACAATATTTCAATTTCCTTATTTACCAATTCAATCAATGTAAAGGTAGTTTGATATTTTGCATTATCTTTGATAGAAATTGATTTAACTTTCTTGGAGTATGGCACTGACCACATTCTGGTATCACAATAGATATCAATAGATATTTATAAATCAAGGTAGTAAAGAATATCAGTATTATCCAGGGACCAAGATTATTTTCCGAGACTTCATCCGAGGGGTAAATGGTCCCGTGGTTTTATTATTGTTTACTACCGAGGTATGTATATTCAATATTTTGCACCACTAGCAGTATATTCCAATCACTAGTTCTGTGAAACTGAAATATGGACCTATTGTATCTAGAAAGCACTTCTCATCAATTCTGATTGAAATCTAGTAGCCATGACCATGATCGACAGCATATGACAAGTCGTTATTGTTATATAGCTACTAGATTCGAGTGCCATCCCTGCGAATCCCGCATCAGAACAGTGAATTCAGAGGTGGATCGACTCAGAGGCGGATCAAGGGTATATTGCGCCCCAAGCTGAACCAAAATTTGCACCCTCCCCCCCTTCGCCTTATTTGTCTTTTTTAAAACGAACATGAATAATGAAAAAATGAGAAAACAAAACAATTGAAAGAAAAATAAAATGTTTCTAAATAGATGTTTGTTCCATTACATGTCAAAAAACGTTGAATAATAGTATATTACACACCGAGGTGGGAAGTGATTCATTCCTGGCGTGAGATTTGTTAGTTAGTTAGTTAGTTAGTTAGTTAGTTGGTTAAAAATTCACGAAATTTTCTACAGGGTGATTATTGATGATGTCCGATTCAATGGTGGCATCGGCAATGTTGCCAAGTTTACAGTTTTTCAGACATTAGGAGTAACTTTATTTTTTCGAATGGAATACCCCATTTATTTTTATTGCAATCAATTGAACGCCTCCTAATTACTTGAGTCCCTGAATATCAGATTCGTAATTAACGTGATTTTCGAAATATGACAACATAGCATTTTCGTTAAAAAGTTCTGGAACGGTTCCATATTTCAGAAAGGGCTCAGAAAAAATTTATGAAAACTCCGACAAGATGGTTGTTGATGATGCCCGATTCAATGGTGATATCGGCAATGTTGCCAAATCAACAGTTTTTCAGATATTTAGGGTAACTCAATTTTTTCAAATGGAATACCCTATTTTTTTTTTTCATTGCAATACATTCAGCGACGCCTCATTACTTATGTCTTCAAATATCAGATTTTAAATTGAAGTGGTTTTCGAAATATGACAACATGGCATTTTCGTTCAAAAGTCTGGGAACCTTCTCATATTTTCGATACGGTTCAAGGAAAATTCATGAAATTTTATACAAGATGGTTTCTGATGATGCCCGATTTAATGGTGATATCGGCAATGTTGCCAATCGGGCATCATCAACAATCATCCTGTCGAAGTTTTCATAAATTCTTTCTGAGCCCTTTCTGAAATATGGGACCGTTCCAGAACTTTTTAACGAAAATGCTTTGTTGTCAAATTTCGAGAATCACGTTAATTACGAATCTGATATTCAGGGACTCAAGTAATTAGGAGGCGCTCAATTAATTGCAATAAAAATAAATGGGGTATTCCATTTGGAAAAATAAAGTTACTCCTGATATCTGAAAAACTGTGAACTTGGCAACATTGCCGATGCCACCATTGAATCGGACATCATCAATAATCACCCTGTAGAAAATTTCGTGAATTTTTCTCAAGCCGTTCTTGAAATATGAGACCGTTCCGATACTTTTGAAAGACACTGTATATATGGTTGTGAATAAAAACATTCTCTTCATCACATAACAACCATGAGATTATAAGATATATAAGATAACTATAAAATGTGCAATTGAAACAAAACAAGCCGTCAATATGACATTATCAACAAAAAATATTTCATTATTGCTTTTGCATGTGCAAATTCATTTACAATTTCCGCAAAGTCTTATTTCCGAAAAATTTCGTTTCAATGGCAAGCAATGCCTTTGAATCAAACATTTTTTCTGACATTGTGGATCGCAAATAGTTTTTAACTCTTTTCAGCACAGAAAAGGACTTTTCACCGCTGCAATTTGTGACAGCAGTGCTTACGTGCATCCTAAGGGCGATTTCGCAATTTGGAAAAACTCCTCTCATACTTGGTGCCTTCAAATATTCTAGTTTTATATTTATCCTAACAAAAGCTCTCTGGGCTCGGTACTCGTGCAGTCGTACATCGTACAACGTACATGCTACGTATATTCTATATTCCGACTTTTCCGACTTGCGGAGATACTTTTTCCAAATGCTACCATTTTTGAGATTTTTACTATTTCATGAACTAAGATTTTGCGCCCCTCAAATCTTGGCGCGCGAAGCGCTCGCTTCTTTTGCTTTCTGGTTAATCCGCCTCCGGATCGACTAGAGGTTCATATAATGACGAAAACTACAATTTTTTGATTTGCAGCTTTTTCTTGGGGTTTGGATTCGGTTTCATAAATAATTCAAGGATTAAGTAGAAAAAAACGTTTCGCTCATGGCCATGGGCTTTGTCAATTTATTAAATTTTTTTGGCTCTGTAAAATAATGGTTTACATTGTAGGGTGATGGTGATGGGACATGAATCAGAAGAAAAGAGAGATACGTACCTCAACCAATTCATAATTCACAGCGATTGTGGTATACTCTTGTGAATATTTTTTAATTGAACATAGTGTTCCTTTTTATTTGCCCTTCTTTTTTCTTTTTTGTTGCATCGTTTTATGTGAGATAGAAAAACGAGGAAAACTACAATTTGTTGAGGTTAATTTGAAACTGTTCATCGCATGACTATGGCTATATTCCGAATTCAACTGGTCAGTACTGTCAGTTGATCCACTGACTCTGCTGAAAATCTGTGTTCCGAAATATAAAATCAAAAATTCACTACTGTAATTCGGGACACGTTTTCATGGTTTTCATCAGTTGTAGTTTCTCGTTTATCTGAACTAGATGTTTAGCCTCCTACTTGTTATAAATTTTGGAAATTTAATATTCAACATGGAAGAGAAATCGATTCTTGTATCCTCTATAGTTTCTACGATTGTTGACGATGGCGATTTAAGCTCGAGTGATGAAGAATACTTGAACATTTTGTTGCCATAAATTTTTCATGATGCACCAGATTGAGAATTGAGATTCATGAAAATCGCAATATGCCTTAATAATGATGAATTTTAGGAGACATTCCAGGTTTATTTAGTTTCTTTAGCCAATGCTGCTCCTTTCCTTACCTGATGCTCTACTACTTCATACTCCAGGTATTTTCTGATATTGAGAATGGTTTCATTAACAACGGAAATGAATGTTACATTTTTTATTTTCATCGAGGTGGTTGAAATCCTTTATGGACACCATATGGGTCCAATCCCCCATATGATAGTGTGGGAGTACCCTGACTCCAGGGTATACCCACTAAACACTCGTCTGACCGAAGTCTCCGACGAGGCCTAGTGGCCCATTGTATCTCACCTACATGCCGTTATCAATTTCACCAAACTTTACCATATACTCATGGTGCTTATTAAGGGCCACTTCAATATGAAAGAACCTTTTCGTTCAGGTTCCTGAAGATTACTCTTCCGATCCCTGTTCTGAGGTTCTCGTCTACGAAGAAGGCCAAAAGTTTTCCTTCCCTCTCTAAAATATGACAGTTCACTGAAGCCACACTACCTTTTGATACTCAGCAATTCCAGCAGAATGTTGAGTCGAAATATTTGGAATGAATAGTATGTCTGCTGACAAGCATCTGTCACTTCCAGTGAATTTTTTGATTTCGGAATGGAAAATCAGCAGATTCAGTACTGTCAGTTGAATTCGGAATATAGCCGATGTGAAGGATTTTTGACTGACATTAGGGAAAGGTGACAAGAATGACATGGAACAATTATAGAAACATATGTCAGGTAAGAGTTTTCTTCTTCTTTTTTGTTGTTCTTTTAACATCGACAACACACAGTGTTTTATAAATCTTGGCAGGTGTGAATGCAGTAGTGAAAAATTGGAATTGAATTAGTGGACTTGTGGTTATAGAATAGTCTGATAGATACTGCTTAGATTACTGATATCTGTTCTGTCGTTCATCGAGTTAGTGTCTTTTTTAATATATATCATTTCTTTTATGCATCTTTTGTAGTAGTTACTTTCATAATCAAGAATTTTGACATTGTTAAAGGAAGTGGTATGGTCATTATCCATTAGATGTTTAGTTAGAGCTGTTGGGTTTTGTTTGTTGTAGTGATGTCCTTTCAATTTGTTTTCTAAGTATTGTGCTGTCATGCCAATATACGTTTTATTGCAACCATTGCATGGAATAGAATATATGAGATTTGAATTTTTTAATATTGGGGTTTTGCTTTTGAGTTTTGAGAAAATTTGTTTGTAGTGTTATGGGATTTATGACATGTATCTATGTTAAATTTTGATAGGATGTGTGAAATTTTGTGTGATAAGCCATCAGTGTATGGGATGGATATTGTATTAAGTGGGTTGAGTTTCTGTTTTTTATATTGTGATTCGTTGTATAATCTGTGTACTCTATGTTTTATAATTTTGTTTATTAAATTCAAGGGATAAATATTGTTCGTCAAGGTGTCTTTAACTTTTTTAATGTTTGTTCTCTGTATTGTGGATGGGTTAGAATGATTGGTTGATAGAGCTGTGAATTATGAATTGGTTGAGGTACGTATCTCTCTTTTCTTTTGATTCATGTCTCATCACCATTACCCTACAATGTAAACCATTATTTTACAGAGCCAAAAAAATTTAATAAATTGACAAAGCCCCTGGCCATGGGCGAAACGTTTTTTTCTACTTAATCCTTGAATTATTTATGAAACCGAATCCAAACCCCAAGAAAAAGCTGCAAATCAAAAACATAACAGGATTCAAGAAAATCCCTCAACAAACGAAAACTACAATGGTAGGTAAAGTAAAAACACACTGTACGCCTCAAAAGGGAGTGAATAATGGTTATCCCAACTTGTCCTTTCCTTATTCGGAAGAACATTCAGAAAACTTCAATACAATTTTGCAGAGTAAGAAAGTAATCTGGGTGCTTCATAGAAACTAATCATCCCGAAACCTTGTTTCATCTACTGCCATACTCCTATCAATATATCAAAAGAGATTGAATGTTGAAAAAAAAATGAAAACACCAAAAAATTCATGATTTCAGTGATCAAATCACGAAACATACTTCAGGTAGAGATGTAAGAATTATCAAAATAGTCAGTGAAATGAGCATCGAACGAACCTGATCACCAAATTTTCTCAGGGACAATGTCAAGTAGTTGGCTGTGATGGAGTTCTGCATTCAACAAAGGGAAGAGACAGATGTGGAGTATGCGGTGGTGATAATTCTGAATGTTCAGAGATGAAATCGACTCTCAATAGAAAACTGAGAAGAGGTAAAATCATTCTAACAATTCCATCCTTCTCCTCTCTCCAAAACTCTCATTATTCTATTATCTGGTAGAAGTCCATCGTTTATCAAAGTGGAGTACAGTGATTAACACTGAATAATACACAAAGTCATCTCCACGACAATTCATTGTGGAAACGGGTTCAATATGGATAATCACATCAAGAAAATATGTTTCCGGACATACGTATGTACATCATCAGCCAAATGAGAAATTACATTGTCGTACAATGAAAAAAATTTATTGAGTAATACGAGTAACTCTTATCATAGATAGCTTACATGAAGGTGACATTTTTTCATGATAAAGAACCATAGAGAATCTAAAAACATGAAAGTTGAATGGTTAGTTGTTTTTTAGGGGGATAACCATGAAAACACCCATAGATGAGCATTATGGTGAATAATAAAAAACTAAAGAGCCCCATCTAGAATTATGTAACTGTGTTTCCTACGAAAGCGTAGAAGGCTCACGTTACGTTTTTTTTTAAATAGACAGTTGCACTGTCTATATAGACAATTGTAACTGTCTAAATGGATAGCTGTAACTGTCTAAATAGACAGTTGCAACTGTCTAAATAGACAGTTGTAAACTGTCTAAATAGACAGTTGTAACTGTCTGAATAGACAGTTGTAACTGTCTAAATAGACACTTGCAACTGTCTATTTAAAAAAAGCATTTGGAATAATTTGCTCACCATGGAAGTGGAAGAATTTTTATAATGAAGTAGAGAATTAGAAAACATGGAAGTTAAATGGTAAGTTGTTTTCTAGGGGGATAACCATGAAATCCCCCATAGATGGGCACTATGGTGGATAATGAAAAACTGAAGAGCCCCCTACATTTGGGATACTTCCATGAGCAAGTTGACGGCACAATGATGAATGACTTCCATCTGATTAAACAAACCACAAGTGGAGGCAGGAAATCACATGATCACCGAGACAAACTACAAATGTCAATTTAGTGACAACTGAAATCAGACAAACGAAGCTGTACTGGCTGTCATTAATCTCCATCAACCTACTATTGGAGAATGGTTACCAGTCAGACGAATTAGACAAGCCCAATCAGCACATCCTTCGGTAGTCAACCTCGAAAGATGTCGAATCAACCTACAATTGGAGAATGGTTACCAGTCAGACGAACTAGACAAGCCCAGTCAGCACATCCTTCGGTAGTCAACCTCGAAAGATGTCGAACAGCATTTTATCAAAACTCCTTCTTCCATAGAACGGGTAGGCTCTGGAGTTCATTGCCTGAGGAAGTATTCCCCACAACATATAATCTCCAGAAGTTAGAAAACATTTCCAATACCTATACCTCCTGTCCCTTTCCTCCCTAGGAACGCACGATGTTCTTTGAACATCATAGGGGTTTCCTTTCGTGCGCTCCAAGCGATAAAAAAACTGTGGAAACTACGAAAGCGTAGAAGGCTCACGTTACGTTTTTTTAAAATAGACAGTTGCAACTGTCTAAATAGACAGTTGTAACTGTCGATGAGAATATACAGTTGTAACTGTCTAAATATAGGTACACTTGCAACTGTCTAAATAGATATCTATATAGACTAGTGAATACTGAATCCCCTGTTCTCTGTCCGACCTACAATAACAGTACAACATAGGACAAATAAAAACACGTGCTGATAACTATAATTAACTAATACGAGCTGCGTGTATTGCGTGTATAACGATGGTGGTAGTTTTTCTATAGTAAAAGTAAGATGGATGATGGATTAATTAGATTTTATTTCTATTTGGGTTTCCAACAAACTGAAATTTTGGCCAGTTTGGCTCTCAATCATGATATCAACATTAGTTGAGCACTCTCAAACGAAAATTACACAAATTGGGATTGTTCAGAAGAAAGAATTTCACGGACATCCTAGAAATTCAACAATTCATTATAAATAATACAAAAACTCATGGACAATTACATGGATACCGATGGATGCACCTTGAATGCCTTCAGAATAATTTAGTAGTTACACAAGACATGGTTCGTCTTCTGCTCCAAATTATTGATCCAGTTGGTGTAGACAAACTATTCTACAATATGACGATTTTACGTTTGCAACGTACATCGATGCTTCAATCACCCGTAATTCAAGCGTAATTCCAATAAAATGGTTATCCAAATTCCAAATTATTCCAAATGCTTTTTTTTAAATTGACAGTTGCAAGTGTCTATTTAGACAGTTACAACTGTCTATTCAGACACCAACGGGATCAATACACCAACGGGATCAATAATTTGGAGCAGAAGAAGAACCATGTGTTGTGTAACTACTAAATTATTCTGAAGGCATTCAAGGTGCATCCATCGGTATCCATGTAATTGTCCATGAGTTCTTGTATTATTTATAATGAATTGGTGAATTTCTAGGATGTCCGTGAAATTCTTTCTTCTGAACAATCCCAATTTGTGTAATTTTCGTTTGAGAGTGCTTAACTAATGTTGATATCATGATTGGGAGCCAAACTGGCCAAAATTTCAGTTTGTTGGAAACCCAAATAGAATTAAAATCTAATTAATCCATCATCCATTTTACTTTTATTATAGAAAAACTACCACCATCGTTATACACGCAATACACACAGCTCGTATTAGTTAATTATAGTTATCAGCACGTGTTTTTACTTGTCCTATGTTGTACTGTTATTGTAGGTCGGACAGAGGACAGGGGATTCAGTATTCACTAGTCTATAGATATCTATTTAGACAGTTGCAAGTGTATATTTAGACAGTTACAACTGTCTATTTTCATCGACAGTTACAACTGTCTATTTAGACAGTTGCAACTGTCCATTTTAAAAAAACGTAACGTGAGCCTTCTACGCTTTCGTAGTTTCCATAGTTTTTTTATCGCTTGGAGCGCACGAAAGGACGTTCCTATGATGTTCAAAGAACTTCGTGCGTTCCTAGGGAGGATAGGGACAGGAGGTATAGGTATTGGAAATGTTTTCGAACTTCTGGAGATTATATGTTGTTGGGAATACTTCCTCAGGCAATGAACTTCAGAGCCTACCCGTTCTTTGGATGAAGGAGTTTTGATAAAGTGCTTTCGACGTTGACTACCGAAGGATGTGAGGATGTGCTGACTGGGCTGGTCTAGTTCGTCTGACTGGTAACCATTCTCCAATTGTAGGTTGATGGAGATTAATGACAGCCAATACAGCTTAGTTTGTCTGATTTCAGTTGTCACTAAATTAACATTTGTAGTTTGTCTCGGTGATCATGTGATTTTCTGCCTCCACTTGTGGTTTGTTTAATCAGATGGAAGTCATTCATCATTGTGCCGTCAACTTGCTCATGGAAGTATCCCAAATGTAGGGGGCTCTTCAGTTTTTCATTATCCACCATAGTGCCCATCTATGGGGGATTTCATGGTTATCCCCCTAGAAAACAACTTACCATTTAACTGTCATGTTTTCTAATTCTCTACTTCATTATAAAAATTCTTTCACTTCCATGGTAAGCTATCTATAGTAAGTATTCCTCGCGTTATTCAATAAATTTTTCCCACTGTAGGAATATGTTATTTCTTATTAGGCTGATGATGGTCATACGTATGTTCGAAAACATGTTCCCTTGCTGTGATCATTCACAATGAACCCCTGAGAAAACTCTCGTCTGAATTCTCGTGGAGATGACTTTGTGTATTATTCAGTATTTCTTATTATTCTCTCAATTTTGCAGAATCTAGCAGGGTGGCTATCCTTCCGAAAATGGCAAGACAAATCAGGGTGGAAATCAACGTCACCGTCTATCACTCTGATAACCCTCTCTTGGCTCTCATTCTCAAGAATAGGAGAAAGAAAAAGTACGTGGTCTCCATACCGAACACAGTCGTACACACCAAAATTCTTGAAGGGACGAAATTCTACTATAAGAAATTCAACAACAGACACAGCCTGTGGTCTACTGGACCGTTGAAAAACGAGATGGTCATTTTGGTATGACATATTTGCAATAGTCCATTGTACCAGTAATACACATAGGCACACGAATGAACATATTGACATATACAGAGTGTCAAATAAGTCATGGATCAAAAGGAGTGGGGTGGTATAGGGGGTAATTTGCAATCGAACTAACGGTATATGTGATTATCAAATTGTGAATGGTTCAAAAGCTATCGAATTTTTCTGAACAACGAGCCCCTTTTGCAAGCAATAACAGAAAGGCTGTTTCGATCAACCCCAAAATTGAAAGTGCTCTATACACTTCTGTCAAAAATATATTATAGAGAAGTAATGAGCAATTTTGAATTCAACCGAATGTGTTGAAGGAAGCAGAGAGAATGTTGAATGAATCAATGTAATACATCTTGAATTTGGAATTTTTCTATTGCTTACTCAAATTCGATTGGAGTTTGTGCTCAAAATGTTTACCCGCTACTTCACAGCACATTCCTGCTCTTCTAATTATTGAAAACGTTGCTCTCTGAAAAGAACCTTGGTCGACTCGTATGGATGCAGCTGAAGTCATCATATTTTGAATTACTTCATCTTCGGTTTTCACTTTATTTGAATACACTAGACTTTTCCATGTGCCCTTCGAGATGATAGTCGGGAGGCGTTAGGTCAGGAGAGCTCGGTGGCCAAAAAACTAGACCACCTATTTCAATCAAGCAGCAGGCAAAGTTGTCATTTAATCGCTCATATCTCCTCAAATATTGAGTTTTTGACAAAAGTGTACAAGGCGGTTTCGACTCGAAATTGTTCAAGGAAAAATGGCTACAGCCTATGGGGATCTGGTCACGAGACACCCTGTATAAATCACCAGGAAGCATTATGACATTCTAACTCCATTTGTATATAATTTAAAAAATCGTGAATTGCATGCTCTGATAGAACAGTTAGAACGCATATTCCAAATATTTGGTATTGTATAAGACCTCATGATCTCCTTTGAACTGCATAGAAACTGATAGACCCTGAAAGCGCGCTGATTTTCAGGCGACAGTACCCAATGAACATATATCTCGTTTAGTATCTGCAATAACGCTCGAAATTTCATAGGAACATATGTAAACGGATAGGAACATATAGAAATGCATAGAAATATGAAGACATTGATAGAAACCTATCAATAATAGATATGTTGAGATGTAATATGCAATATTTCAAAACATATATAAATCACCAATAATCAATAATGTTCGTAACATTCTAACTTCATGCTGTGAGAGAACAGTTGGAACGCATATATTGATATTGTATACGACCTCACGGAACTCCGAAACCGCATAGAAACAGATAGATACTGAAAGCGCGCTGATTTCCAGGCGATAGTACCCAAAACCGAGCTCAGTGATGCAGTACCTCGTTCAGTATCTACAAGAACGCTCAAAATTTAAACATTGCTAAACGCATAGGAACATTTCAAGAATTCTTTGGACAAACATTATAATGATAACCCACACATATTTCCCCAACATTTCCTACTCATGTAAATTCTACGACAGGCTTATATAGCTGATTCAATCCTCATTAGTTATTATTTTAGAATCAAGCAATTACTTTCATGATTATTATGTCGTTATGTATAACTTTAGTATGAAGAGTTCATAAACTTCCAGCTTCTACTCTTGTTAGTTTATAAATAAATAAATAAATGAATATAGGAATATATAAGAATATGTTGACATTCATTGAAACCTATGAGAACAGTTATTGCGATTTATACTTATTAGTTTAGTATCACCCCGTATGATAAAGGGATATATAGATGAGTTTTTATGTCTAGAGCAGTTCGAGAACTGAGAAACACAATCGAGTCATGATATTTATATTTGTGAATAAGATATTCAATAAAGACAGCAAAACACAACAACGACTATTCGATATCGTATAAGACCTCACGGAACCTCCTTCAAACCGCATAGAAACAGATAGACTCTGGAAGCGCGCTGATTCTCTGGCGATAGTACCCAAAACCGAGCTCAGTGCTGGCATGAACAACTCCTGCAGTATCTCGTCCAGTATCTGCAAGAGCGGTCGATATTCTATAGAGACCCTGGTAAACGCATAGAAACATATCGACATTTATAAAAACCTATGGAAACATGGAAGTATTGCAATCTAATGAATCGTAAAACATATTCTTTCGAAAAATATATAAATCACCAGGAATCATTGATGTTCGTAACATCTCAACTTGAAGCTGTGAAAGAACAGTTAGAACGCATATTACGTCTATTCGAAATTGTATAGGACCTCACAAAACCTGATTGAAACTGCATAAGAACAGATAGACTCTGATTTTCAGGCGATAGTACCCAAAACCGAGCTCAGAGCTGGCATGAACATCTCCTGCAGCACCTCGTACAGCATTCAGAAAGACCACCTGATCCCCTCCAAGAGGTACACCTGGATCATCGGAGGTTGGGGCCCGTGTTCTGCGAGCTGCAATGGTGGCAAGCGGCACAGGACGGCCGCTTGTTGGGATAATTTGCAGGACAAGATCGTGAAGAGGAATCTTTGTTCATTGTTGAACAGACCCAAGCTAGGATCAGAAAAATGCAATACATTTGGGTGAGTATCCACAGAGTCGTTATATTCACATACATATGCCGTCAATTTCATGTAACGAATATTCCACAAGTCCACAAATTGACGTCAATGTACAATGTACCATGAAACTTAGATACAAAATTTACATAATTCTATTTCCCTTGAATCAACAGCAATGTTCGATATAACAGATATACCTCAATTACATAACATTCTTACGTAATGATTATATAACATCTTCGTAACTAGAACTATGTCAATTTCATATCAATTTATTCACAAGAAATCTATCTCTAATAAACGGACGTGACAATGAACAATTTATTTTAATAAGTATCTCTCAAGTTTTCGCGAAAGAGCAACTCTCGTCAAGTCGGCTCAAGTTAGAAATAAGATGGCGTCAGCGTTGTTACGTTTTGTTTTGTGTTGTGTTATTTGTTACTTGATCAGCAAGTTAAGCCAGTTCCTTGATCATTAAATTATGTGAGTTTCTGAAAATTGATTGAAACGTGGAATACTATATTGTGGTGAGTTGAATAATATTATGTTTAATGTCTGTTTTCCTATATAAAACAAAAAAATAAGTAACTAACTGCCTATTGAAGTACCTATCAGTCAAGTGAGAATGTTGAAGACATTTTGAGTTATGATTTTGTTATTGTTTTGTGTCATGGTTTTAGATATCCAATATAAAATCCATGGGAAGCAGGGATATGGAGATCGAATAATTTTCATCATCAGACACTATCAAAAACGAATATGGAGTTCAAGCAGGAGGTATATTATTGGTTTGGAAAAGGTGGAATATAAAAGTGGTAGACTAAACCTTCAATAACATCGAACAACTTGTCGGTTGGTAGATTCTTACATTTTCTGTTCAATGAAGTATTAATTAGTCTGATTATTCTTTTATTCAAAATACCAGAAGTATAGGTACCTTGAAATTATATTAGTGAGACGTAATTACGTTATCCAGATTCGCACGCCCAATTGACATCTCTTTGATGTAACAATAATATAACTAGTATTACATAGAATTGATGAAACTTATGATGTAACGTGTTGCGGACAAAATGCACAGTCAACTCACTTATTAGCTCTTTTGTTACGTAACTGACCAGAAAATAATGTAATGTTCATGCGTTAGTCACGTTGATGTGTTTTCTGGGTAATGATGTTAATAATAATAATAATAATAATAATAATAATAATAATGAAATAATAATAATAATAATTCAATAATATTAATAATAATAATAATCATAACTATAGAAAATGTTAAAAAGGAATATTCTCAGATGAATTATGAACATACAAAAATGGATATATATTTATATAAAGCAATACATCGAGAATTCGCATTCTCTATGTGATGAGAATATTTACTCTTTCTCAGTTGATTCAATAGAAAACAACTACTTTCCTGGCTATATGCCACGACGAACATTGAATTATATCTATTGAACACACACGATAAGAGTTTGAAAATAAAATATAAAAACTTCTGAAATTGAGAATTTGCATTCTCCTTCAGATAAAAATATGTATATGCACACATCATTCTGAATATTCAACAGAAAACAACTACTTTCCTGGCTATTTGCGAATTCTCAATGTATGGCTTTATATAAATATATATCCATTTTTGTATGTTCATAATTTATCTGAGAATATTCCTTTTTAACACTTTCATACCCAATCAGGGGGTTCAAACTTGAACGATGGAAACTTGTGACTTTTATAGATTTCTAATCGCAGATTCGTGATAGAGTCTCAATTCAGAATTTCTTTCCACGCCCTGTATGATGAATGTCAATTTATCATACATTCAAATGCAAAAAATATAGAAAATGTGTTTATTCAAAGAACTAGATATCATAACTAAGGGATTTAGAACGAACATTAGAGTTCCCCAGATGCCAGCAGGAGCGAGACAGTACTGTTTTGGCCCACCAGGCTTTATCAGTTGCTCTAGGTCTGCTAGAAAGTAGGACAACTGAACTTTAAAAAAATGTCACCTATATGGAAAATGTCGGAGGATACATGAAGATTGATAGTCATGTTATCGCCATCTAGTGGCAGAGTTCCAAGGTAGAGGTGACGCCATACACAGAAGGATAATGCCATCTTTGAGTATTCACACTCAAGGATGTCATTCAGAATCAACATGTGAATACTACAGAAAACTTTTACGTCTACACGCTTCAAAGTGGTACTACAAGTTAACTTTTCTGCTGACAGATGGCGCTACCGGATTACTCTAGTGGAATGATCCACCAGTCCTAATCGAAGAAATATACCTTAAAACTTGAAGATCGAGAGAGAAAAGTGTTGTCCCAATTGTCAGCCGGAGCTAGACAGTACTGATTCACTAGTGAATGAGGTGGTACTCCAAACGGTTCATAAGTGTAAAATCAAATAAAATTTCAAGAAATACAAGTTTGCGATCGGAGAGGAAAACAACAGCATACCTAGTTTTGTTTCTTCAAATTTTTGGGGTTTTCTCCCCTAGTCTCCATGAATAGAAATATCGAGTATGAAAATGGTGGATTCTAGATCAATCTTCTGTCAACTTCTGTCACTGAGAAATTTTCAAAAACGAAAACGAAAAAAACTATTGCAGGAGTTGTTTTCAATTTTTGTTTCGAAAACGAGAACAGATTCATTCCCAAAAAATCCTCATCAAAAATGTTTCAATCAAGGTGTCACTGACTGTTGATTGAATTTCTCCTTCAGATTCCTCAGAGTGAGATTTCAATCACACTAACATTCTGATGCGAATGATTCGATTTGTTCTTGCTTCAAGTATATGGAAATACCTCATAAAAATATTTTCATCTATTGAAACGAGTACAGAAAATCCTGAGAATACTGAAAAACTAACTATCTGATCAACCTACAAATTGTAATTATCAATAGTTTTCCTTTCCATTAGGTGCAGCTTTGAATGGATAGCAGGAGAATGGGAGCCATGCCCGGTATCGTGTGGCACCAAAGGAATACAGCAGAGGCAAGTTTACTGCGTACCTAATTCCGCTCTGTCCGTCATACTGAACCAGTTCAATGGTACCATGAAGGAGCCTTGGAGGTACATGGTCCATCCAAGGAGATGCTCGGACTCCAAACCGTTAAGCACCAGGCCTTGCAACAGGCAACCGTGTTTTTCGTATTGGAATTTCACAGAATGGTCACAGGTGAGCATAGCAGCGAATAGAAGTGGAGAATTGGTTGGTATGAAAATTTTAATTTTCGAGGGATTTTCAATAGTTTCTTCAATATTGCTCATCTTCGAAGGGCCTTTGCTCCTCTTCCAAGGTATCTTGCTCCTCTTGCAAGTTAGTCAAGTCAATATGTGAACTGTCGTTCTCTTTCTATCATCTCAACCTATTTTTTTGTAGTGAAATCAAAATGGAGAATTGGTTGGTTTTTCTTTGAGTGATTTGCAATAGTTCTATCATGCTCAAGATATATTGCTACCTTCACAAAATATATGAGTCGATGTGTATCCCACCATTCTTTTTCTCATCTCACCCTATTTGAGGGTCGAATACGAACATTATTTTGATGGAAATTTGCTGTTCCGATGGGAAAAAATGGAAGATTGAAACCCCTTTCAGTGATGACCGCCTTGGACTCGCGCTCGATGACCATATTCGGTTGCCACGCCCAGAATCGGTATTGGTCAATCAGCCGGCTGGAGTGACCCATAAACATGAGCAGCGAGACACGCTTGACTCCAGCGTGCTCAGTGACACGGTGGAGTCATGATGCTTTCTCGAAATCTCGAGGATATCGCTTACGCGTTGTCCAAGAAACTCCGCGGAATTCCATACTTTCAGGATGAGAATCCTACAGATCGATTAATGTTTCCCATCTTTTGGTATACTATGACACGGTTCATGAAGATCTGCCACTCGGGAATATCGATTACAATTGTCAATGATACAGAGAATGTCGTTTTGTAGCACCTGTAGTCTTTCTATTTAGGTAGGTGAGCCACTACGAAACAACAAACAGGCGTAAGTCATCACAGGTCTGATTATCTGCTCATCGATCAAGAGCTTGTTATTCAATGTTATTAGGGGATTTCTAGCCCCTAGTTGCTGCTTGAGCTCTTCATATAGGATAGTTGATATCTCCTCTGAATGACAAACGTCTGTCCAGCTTCATTCCGATTTATTTTACAACGGGACAGTCCGTAACCTCTGTGCCCTTAACGGTCTAACCCAGCTAGCACACACACGTCAATTTCACGTCATATATGCGTCACCAATTACGTCGAAATGACCAAATTATCGACGTGAAAGAGACGTAAATATGACGTCAATATGTCACAGCGAAACGACGTCATTCATCGACGTCGTAATGACGTCATTTAGCGTCGTCGTAACGACGTCAGCTAGCGACGTCCTCTACACGTCGAATAGTTACCTACCAAGTAGGTCCAGGTTTCGACATCACCAAGAAACTGTGAAACTCTAAATCATTTTCTCATGATCCTAATCCTTGTTGGTTGGCAAAACAGTTCAAATGATCTAGTTACAATAGTTGTGGATATTTTTTATTTGTTTACATAATTATACATAGATATTCTTCATCTGAATAAAACTAATAAGCATAAAATCCACTATATTCCATAGTATATAGACATAAACGAAGATGTCAAAGGAATCTCAACCTAATAACCTCAAATTATTCTTGTACCTACGATTCAAGGTATTTATAGATTACCTTCTTCAAATAACGACCTCACTAAATCAAACACCTTCCAAGTTTCATTTGTAGATTTCGCTTTCTCAATTATTGACCTGTTGAAAAAGTCTTGCTGTTTGAAAGGCGGCCACTACACTTCGCAGCCTTACGAGGCGTCATGACGTCACTACTTCTACTGAACGAGAGCAATGCCTTTCCTCGGAATATTGTATTCCCACAAACATTCCTATTGCCTGGAATTAATAAAATAACCAGCGAACTGCAATATATTTTACTGAACCCCACTTTTCCATAGTATCCTTGTTTTCCGTGACCCAAAATTACTAATCCGCCATTACAACATTCGATGAACTGGATCACGCATGCGCATGATTACGACAAACTGTGCTACGATCGACGATGTATGATAGGGGTAGCGGTGGCATTTTGAGAAACGAAGACACACGAATCCACGAAGCACGGAATGACCAATCATAAGCATCTGTATGTCTTGACGTGGCGCGCCAATATAAAACATGAAGGCACCTGGTATAACCGTATTTGTATACATATAATAAATTCTTGTATCTTCCGTATCTGTTACCAAGTTATCTCTTTCAGGGTGTTTTTTATTGATATTTGTTCTACATATTTCACCACTTAGTTTTATCCATGTCGGGTATACGTGAATCCTCTTTACTAAGGTAGGTACCCATTTTATTTTGATTAGCGATCAATCATGAGTCCTGGATATGCAGTTTATGGAGTAATTTTTTCGAAATGAAACAAAATGAATGTTGCAGATGTCACGTCTAAATGACGTCAAATGACTTCTATCAGATACGTTTTTGGAACACGACAAAATGACGTCAATTATTGGTCGAATCTTGACAACGACCAATTGCCACCTATTATCCACGTCGATTCGACGAGAATTGACGTCACCCTGCTGGCTGGGAAGGTCAGGGTATGGCATTATTAGTAATTTGTAGTAATGTTTTTGCGTTATTTACGCCCATCTTCGACTCGTCAAGATATACGATATGAATCTCCTGTACAGATGAATCCGAATTTGAGTCCTGGTGATGTCCGAGTCGAACTCTGTTTGTTCCATTCATTACATAACATGTCCTGGTGTCTGTTCCCAATCAGAACTAGCATTTCAAATTTGACGCAAATATAATCTCCCGATTGATTCGGAATTTGGCAATTGGATATAATTCTGGTGACAATTCGTTGTGATATTATCATTAAATGAAAAAGTCTGATTCGGATCAAAATCGGTATGTAGAGGTGTTTTGGGGTTGGAGATTGTGATTCTCCTGTTCGAATTGAGAAATTCAAAATGGCGACTCCAATATGGTAGACTATAGTTTTCTGATTATGATCTGATTCGATTCAAAATTGGTATCTGGGGGTTTTCGGGATCAAAGATTAGGATTCTTTCTGTGAAAAATGGAAAATCCAAGATGGCGGCTTCAACATGACGAACCAGTTTTGTGATTATGGTCCGAATTGATGCAAAACTGGTAAATGCATGGGGCTTTTTATGTAGAAATTCAAGAATCTACCGCAAAGGCTCCGAAATGACGAAAAATGTTTGAAAACATTACTTGTTGATGAGAAATAAACTGAAAAGTTGGGAATAAAAAAACGTGTGGAAATGACTTTTTCTTTTCCTTTCTCTTCTGAAATTAACTTACATTACCTTGTATGCATTTCTTTACGTCGTATTGACGTACTTGACGTGTATGTCTTTGAGACGTATTCGATACGGCATGGGGAGAATGACATGAATTAGACCTGAAATGTATTTGAGATATAAATCATACGTCCTTGAACGTAGTCAGACGTGAAATGTACGTCTTCAAGACAGTACAATATCATGTCACAAAGGGCAGGAAATGATGTTTTCTGCATGCAACACAAAAAATGACAGATCTTTAGATTAATGATTGTTTTCTTGATTTCAAACTTTGATTCACACTAGTGTTTGATGGAAATTTATGTGAAACGTCTAGATAGTGAAAAACTACAAAATCGTGTAGTTATCAATTTAGCAGACCAATACAATACAAGGGACGATACACATTACTTTGGGCCACACTCTGAGGGTTGATATGATTCATTTTCATATCATATTGTAGGCGAGAAAAGTTAATGTTGACTATATTCTCGTTCTAGCAGCCAACAGCCTGCGCTTTCTATATACGTTTTTCCTCGCAGTGTTCATCATCTTGCGGGCACGGCATCCAAACCAGGTCCTTCGTTTGTCCCCCTCCAGAAGACGAAACCTTCTTCACCTGCGGTCCCACGCCTACTGCGCAGAAAAGAAGCTGCAGCGGGCCTTTCAACAGACGCTCCCACCACCTCTGCAGAGGCAGGAGAGGGGGAAGATGCGTCAAAGACGAGTCCGAGTATTGCAGTTTCGACCTTTTGCGCAGCTACTGCAAACTGGGAGGTTTCAGGAAGCTGTGCTGCAAATCTTGTTCGGGGCATACGGTCCAGTTGGACAATAATTTAGTAGTGTCGCTAACCCTTTGATGATTTTTTTGTCGATAAATAACAATGATAATAACATGTATTAATCACATGATACATACATGCTCATGAAGGGATACACAAAAAAATTAACAAATCCAATATCTAACGAAATAATCATTCAAATCATAATTAATCAATATGAAGTAGAGAGTTGAATTGATCCAATATATTTCTTCAGTTCACTCTTGAATTTTATGATGTCATTGATGGATTTAATTCTTCTAGGTAGACACTTATGAATATTCATCCTACTAAAATAAAATTATTCTTCCTCAGTTTTTATTTTGACAGTTTACAAACCCCGGAAGTTGAAAAAATCCATTATATACTTTCATATTACGGTTTCCATCAGATGTCTCTTATATGAATGTATGACGTTGAAATAAGTTAATTAATTGGTATAGCAATAATCGTTAATATGTATCACTCAATAGATTTTTTTTATCGCTTGGAGCGCACGAAAGGGAATCCCTATAATGTTCAGAGAACATCGTGCGTTCCTAGGGAGGATAGGGACAGGAGGTATTGGCATTTTTTTAAACTTTTGGAGATTATATGTTGTTGGGAATACTTCCACAGGCAATGAATTCCAGAGCCTAGCCGTTCTATGAATGGATGAAGGAGTCTTGATAAAGTGTTGTTCGACATCTTTCGAGGTTGACAACGAAAGGATGTGCTGACTGGGCTTGTCTAGTTCGTCTGATTGGTATTGCTAGTGAAGGAATGATAGCAGAGATTTCCGAGGAACATTTCCCGTGGAAGTATCGATAGAAAAGTGAAAGGTCGCCGATCTTTCTACGGTGTTCCAATGATGTCAAAGAGTGAGTGAGTGTGGCGTCACCCACCAGGCGAATGGCTCTTCTCTGGATGGAATCTAAGAGCATCAGATAAACGAGACATTTCATAGTAACCAGTGAATAGAACTTACTGTCCTGAAAAATGGTAGAATTTGAAGAAAAATAAGTTAATAAAATCAAGGAAGATATAAAAAATTGCTGAAATTAGTGATCCTGCTTCTAATGGTGCTGAGGATAGATGACTTGTGATTCAATGAACTGAGAAAACTGTTCCAATATGTGAGTGACAAGAAAATCGGAAAAAATCTGAAATGTCACAAGATATTTCAGAAAATATACAAGATGATCTAAATTTCGATTTTTTTCAATGCACACAAATAGATTATGATAAAACTGATTATAATTCAACCAGTAAGTTGACAGCTTCAGACTTTAATGAAGATACAAGTAAATCTATAAAGAGCCAAGTAAGTGATGATATAATTTTTCTAAAAAGAGAAAATGAACTCCTACAGGAACTACTGAGAGCAAAAGATGTAATAATTAAAAAAAATGAAAAAATAATTACCAATCTCACTAATCAAGTGAATTTCGTTACTGTAGAATATAACAACATGATAAGAGAAAGAAATGAGAAGCAAGATATGATGATCAAAATTGATTCTTTGAATGAGAAAATAGAAAATTTGGCATTGAAACCAAACGAAAGGAAAATTTTGAAACAAAATCTTATGCTGACATACTCAAAAATGAATATACAAAAGGAAATGATATCCCTCATAATATTCTTTCTTTAATTATAAAACCAAAAAATCAACAAACATCAAAGAAAACCAAAGAAGATATGCAAAACAAAATTAATCCAGCAATAGTCAAGGCCAGTAAAACGAAAATTCAGGAAATTGGAAGAGGAGGCTTGCTGATAAAAACTAATTCTGAAGAAGAAATAATTCTATTGAAGGAAGTCACAGAGAAAACTATTGGAAGTGATTATTATGTCGAGAAATCTAAACTCAAATTACCAAGGCTAGTTGTCATTGGTACGAAAAATTTAAGTACAGATGAAATCAAGGAACCACTACAAACTTTTGATTACATCGATAATAATGATCCATTGGATGTTAAATATTTCAGACAATCAAAATTCTCAGGCAAATTCATTATTTATGTGGAAACTATTGGCAAAACATTTCATAAATTGGTAAACAAGAACATAATTCTTGGATGGCATAAATTCAAAATAAAAGAGGATTACAATATTATTTCTTGCACAAAATGTAATGCTTATGGTCATTTTCCAAAAAATTGCAGAAACTCTGTAACTTGTTCAGTTTGTGCTGGTGATCACTTTAGTAATCAATGCAAAAATCAAAATAAACCATGTTGTATCAATTGCAAAATTGCTATTCAAAAATTCAAAGGGACTGGTAATCATGATCATACTTCAAATAGTATTGATTGTCCTATTTTGAAAAATAAAATTACTTTAGCAAAAAATAGTACAAATTATGAATGGTACGAATACATCAACCCTCACAACATTCAATAATTTCAATATCCTTTATCTGAATATAAGAAGTTTAATAAACAAAATTGATGAAGTAGAAGTTGTAATGAGAAAATATAAACCACATATACTAATTCTAACAGAAACTTGGCTGAAATCAGATCAAACTAATTATTATTACATTCCTAACTTTTCAAGTATACATAATTGTCGAGAAGATAGACAAGGAGGTGGAGTTGATAAAAATTAAACAAAGAGTACATTACAATAGGGATAGAAATTTCTCAATTTAAATATAAATTGAGGATTATTGCTCTGTATAGGCCACCTAGTTCAAACTTGGCTGAATTTTTGCAATACTTGGATGAAATCATGGAAACAAACAATAAAACCATTATAGTAGGAGACATGAATATAAATTTATTATCAGACAATGCTGATATTTTGAATTATAAAAGCATGATAGGAAGCAATGATTTCCGTATTATAAATGAATTGAATCCAACTGATTATACTAGAAATCAAAATAATTCCTTTAGTATTCTAGATCATATACTGACTAACTGTCATAATTTGAATTTGAAAATTTCATTGGAAAATACTTCCATAACTGATCACAGAATAATGTTCACGTCAATTAACAAACTCAACCTCAACTTGGAGAAATTTAGAAAACGTGAAATAGTAAAAATCGATTACTCAAAATTCAAACAGATCGTCTCTGATCAATTAATTCAAAGTGAATATGAAGAATTTGGAGATTTAATAAATATCATTTTGGAAGCAAAAAATCAATCATCATCGAAAATGTACCTCAGAACACGAGAAAACAATGGATGGATAAATAATAATATTATCAAGGAAATGAAAATAAGAAATATCAAATTCGAAAAACATAAACAAAATAATGATAATCCAGAATTCTTCAATGAATATAAAATACAAAGAAATAAAGTGAATGCTTTGATCAAACGAGCAAAGGCCCAATATATCAATAAAAAGTTTAATGACTGAAGGAAACCCGAAGAAAATGGGGGATACAATAAATTATTGTCTTAGAGATGGAACTAACAAGAAAAATCACATTGAATCAATAAAGATTGATGATACAATTGTTAATAATGATTTGGAGATAGCTGAAATTATGAATAATCACTTTTCAAGTATTGGTGAAAAAATAGCAAAAGAAATAATCACATACTATAATAACATTCAACGTAAAAATATTAGTCCTGATTATAACAACTCCACAATGATTTTGTTTCCCACTGATGAAATGGAAGTTATTGAAATACTTCAGTCTTTAAAGAAAACATGCTCAGATCCCGAAGGTTCAATAACTAAAGATATATTCGCACTAAAAAATATTTTGGCCAATCCATTATCAAAATTAATCAATAAATGTTTTACCAGTGGTATATTTCCACAAGAATTAAAGCATGCTTCATTAAGACCAATTTACAAAAGTGGAGATACTCAAGATCCAGAAAATTATAGACCAATCGCCTTATTGAGCATTTTTTCCAAAATTGTTGAGAAGATTCTTAAAAAACGCATTGTAGATTTTATAAATAGAATATATAGCTTTGACATAAATCAATTTGGTTTTCAAGAAAATAGTGACACACAAGCGGCAATATTACAAGTAATACAAGCAATACAAAAAGGACTTGATACTGGAAATTATGTGATAGCAATTTTTGTTGATCTCAAGAAAGCTTTCGATACAGTAGACCACATAACACTTTTGGAAAATTCAGAATCAATGGGACTCAGAGGCATGATAAGGAACCTTTTAGATTCGTATCTTCAAAATAGGACAATCAGTACCAAATCTACCAATTCAGAGTCTCATAGACTACTGATGACTAAAGGTGTCCCTCAAGGATCTGTTGTAGGACTAATTTTATATTTATTATATATTTCAAATATCACGAAAATTGATACAGAATGTAATTACACTATTTATGCAGACGATACGGTACTTTTGTATGAAAATAAGAATCCTATCATTTTAGAAAATATAATAAACAGAGACTTGATGAAATTTGAAAAATGACTGCATTCAAACCTTTTATCAATAAATACTGATAAAACTGAATATATGATTTTTCAACAAAGAAATAAACAAAATATAAATTTGAATCTCAGAATTAAAAATGACTCTTTGAAACAAACGAATATGAGAAGAAGTATCTTGGGATTTGGTTTGATGATAAATTAAAGTGGGACATACATATAAATGTTTTGACGAAAAAAATATCTCCTATTATTGGAGCCCTGAGAAGATTTCCAAAGCTGAATAAAAAAGTTGCAAATGTAATTCTATATTCTCATATACTCAGTCGTATTAACTATTTGATAAATGTTTGGGGATACTGTTCAAAAAACAATTTTAATAAAATATCTGCATTATATAAAAAGACATTGAAAGTACTGTATCGTTTACCATATGATACACCAATAAATCAATTATATAAAATAACTGAATCATTCTCATTAGAAGAAATGTTCAGAATCGAAAGACTGAAAATTACATACAATATCATAAATAAAAGATTGAAATCTAATTTTATTTTGACACGAAACAATGAAATTCATAATTATCAAACTAGACAACATGGTTTATTTCATCTTGATATCGCTAATACTTCTATAGGCCAAGAAAGATTTACCCACGCTGCTCTCTTGGAATA